TCCTCAGACTGCACTACATTAAAAACAGGGATGGTTCTGCCATGGAAATCACTGCATGAGCTCAGCAACACTGTCTGTGAACACAGTTCATTGTGTGTCCTCACAGTGTGCTCTACCGTTGCAAATAAGTCATTGTGAACACAATCCAGAAACACAGATATCTTCTCTGAGCCAAAACTTATTTAAAATGGACTGAGAGTAAAACTAACACTGTTCTATGTCAGACAGATCCAAATTTGAATTAAATTTTATAAAACATGGACACCTCATCCTCCAAACTTAAGAGAAGAGGGACCATCGAGCTTTGTCATTGACACTCAGATCAAAAGCCTGCATCGCTGATGATATGGGGGTGCATTAGTGCCCATGAAGGTTGCACATCTGGAAAGGCACCATCAATGCTCCCATACACATGGACATCTTTTTCAATGGAAGACTTTACATATTTCAGCAAAGACAACAATAAAGTGCATACTGCACCTGTTACATGCAGGCTTCATAGTAGAAAAGGTGTTGAACTGGCCTGCCTGCAGTCGGGATCTTTTTGGAAACCTTTCAATAATCATGAAACGAAAAATAGGACACAGACAAGAAGACACAGGGATGACAAGAATGGGACAACATTCCTCTCCCAAAAGTTCAGCAGCTGCTCTCCTCAGTTTCCAGATGTTTACAGACTGTTGTCAAAAAAAAAAGTGAATGCTACACAGTGGTGAACATGGCCTTATACCAACTTTTTTGAGTCGTCTTGCTGCCCCCAAGCTCAAAATGGCCTTATTTATTCTTAAGAATTTCACATTTCATGAGTTGATATGTTTTCTATGTTCTATTGTGAGTTGACTATGGGTTTATGGGGGTTTATATTCCAATCTGTTTTTGTTTGCAATTTGCACAGGGTCCCAACTTTTTTGGAGTTGGGGTTGTACAATGATGTCAGAGCAACATAGTTGCGCCTCATGTCTTGTTACTGTGTTGTGTGGACCAGCTGTGGCCTAAATGCATGCCCAGTGGTAACATGGGTAATGGTAGGTGCTGATGTCTGACATCTGGCCCACGGTTGGTAGATATGTCACTGAGTTGTTGTAGTCATATTCACCCTGAGTGTATGCAGTCAGTCAAATGTGGTCAGAGAGAACTGCACATGTGGACTGCACTGAGCTACATTTGGACCGCACAGCCACAGCTTTTTGGCTTATGACTTCAGCTGGAACAGGAAAGTCACAGTCATTTTGGGGAGGAGTTTTCTGACGTTTTCTAGGAAGGTAAACATACAAATCGAACATCTGTCATGAGGAAAACTTGGCTTTCATAAAAGAGAGAGCTGGGTCTGAACCAAGACCATTTGTTGCACTGTGATTAATTGTCTGATAAAATGATGGAGGGAAGCTACAAGCAAGTGGATTTTTACTGAAAATCAAAACTTAATAAGCCCAGATGATCAACAAGCCTTTGAAAACACACGGTTTAGATCAGTAGTTTGTTGTAGGAGCCATCTTCTTATCTGATGATGGGATATTTTCCCTTCAAAACATGATTGATCCATCCCCATGATAAACAGTTAGAGAGGTGTTTTCTTTTCATGTTTTTCATCTCGTCAAGTTTTCTCACCCTTGAGAAAAATACTTTCACATCACATGATTCTTCAGTGACTTTTTTCTCCAGAATACATCAGGTTTGTTTGGCTGTTCATTTCTGAACTTCTGATGCTGAACTTCGGATCGTCACCACTCATCTGCAAAGTTTGAACAGGAAGTGAGTGGGGTTGGTGTTGTCACAGCTGTGTCACTGAGATGACCACGTTGACCTCGTAACATCGAGCACATCACTGCTAGCATGTAACCGGGTTAGAGTTGGGTCATGGTACTGAAATATGTTTTAACAGCTCAACAACAAACATTAAAATTAAAGTGTTAACCTATGGGCATTCCTCAGGTCCACTAAAATGTTACCACACGCTACAATACTATACAGAGCATGATTATTTTGAACACAAGGCTCACTGTATTTATCAAACCTAAGTCAAATAAATGAGAAAGAGTGGAATCAACCACAGACAGTAATGAATGCATCTTTAATAACAAATAGGGTTCATGAAAAACGGGGACAATCTAAGTCCTCTGGGGTAATTGGCAGCCTGCAAATTGAAAATCCAAAAAGTTCCCTTTGGTTATGACTCCTTTGTCTGCCATGTGTTTGTATGGAAAGAGGAATGTGGTCAAATACTAAAAACCTGAGTTACTATTATGGAAGCCAAGGTAGTGTCTCCATTGAGTAATTTCTGTTTTTGTCATGGAATATTTGATGAGGTCCACAAACACAGTTGCACTTTTACATGCATCATGGGCATCTCTCCATCTTTGCTGCTTGCATCTGCGTGCATCTGAGTCAACAAGTTCAAAACTGAACTTTGTGTGTGTCTAAGTCAACGTCTCAAAGAGAAACACTGAATGGGAGGCAAATTTTGGTCAGATTACACACACCAAAGTGTGGGAGACCTCTGACTGATGATGTATGTTGTACTCAGAATTCATGGGACATGTTGACATAATACATTTTATATCTGTGGTATCTGACCTTCATATTCACTTCCCACTTTGATCTGGTGCAGGTGAAAAATTTGGACTGATTTTATAGACAGTGAGACACTTACTTGAAGGGTGATCATCTTGTGGTTATGCTGTAAATACTTTGATCATTTTTGCCATGTAGGACAGTGTAGTGATGAACATTATTAAGAATGGAGCATTATGATTTGAAGGATTTGATTCCAGGATCTCTCCAGAAACTTTGAGCTGGTCACAAAGCGTCATTCACCAGCACCTGCTGTCTTCTACTGGAGTAGAGGAAGTGAGATTCATTCATTCATCAGTGACGTTTTGTCTGTATCTGCACACTGATCTTTGAATGTATGTGGAGAGTTAGCATCTTTACTCTGTCAGAAACCCATTTCCCTCTCATTCATCCACTGCAGCCACATCCTGGGCGGAGGCACCCATTTAACTTTGATATATGATGGCAAGCCAGAGCAAAGCCCCAGGTTTAGCTCGCTGACGTCAGATAAAGTACCTTTCTTTAGCTCTTACTAATGATGTCCTCCCTCCTTCTTTCTTTCTTCCCCCAATGGCTCTGACTTGTTCCCCCCTGCACTGCTTCTGTCTGCACGTCAGATCAAAGGTGAGAGCCACAGGGAGGGCTCATAGGGGAAAAAAAGACTGATAAGACCCTTTCTCAGCCTTCTCCTCTTTGCCTACCTTGCTCCATGATGAAGATGAGAGTGAGTAGAGGTGCACTCTCAGTCAGCAATCACTTCAAGATGGAAATTGGCATCAAAGAAAGTGTACTTCCCTCAGAAGCCGCATATAATGATGGTCCCTCCGGAGCACACTGTAGTTGTAAAGCTGATCACGGCGAATCGTGGAATAATTTCAGTCAGCTTTTATGCAAACTCTTATCACTGAAGATCAGTTATTAAAATACTTATGAAAACATTGGAAATATCAGAGAATAACAAGCATAGCGTATAAAGAGAACACTCATGTCAGTTCAGTGTCGGTATGTTAAGTTGGGAAGAATAAACCTTTGTGGATCCATTTCACCTGGTTTGGTGCAAAAGTGGCAACAGGTGCGCTAGAAAGGCAACAAGAAGGCAATGGCTGTTCACAGCCCAACTCTGACTGACTTTTCTCTTATTTTGTTTTAGCCTGAGATGATACCTGCATCTCATTCAGGTTGCACAGGTATTCCAGCACCTCCAGGATGGCACATCCATATGTGACACTGCAAGAAGGTTTGCTGTGCCTCGTAATGTGGTCTCAAGAGTATATAGCTGAGATACCAGAAGACACCTGGACCTGCTGTAGAGAGGCATCAATCCATCTTTTGCCGTGTAAAGACCTATCTCCTGGTATCATCTCTGAACTCTTGAGATTGTGCTGGGAGACACAGCAAACGTTTATATGGAGGTTCACATGCCTTGTTGTGGCCTCTCCAATGCGGCTGTGGTCATGTTAATTTGGACCGCAGCAGATAAATTGGAATCACAATGGTTTATTCTTCCTAAACAAACACCCTGATATCAATGAAGTTTTGAATGACTTTGTGTGAAGATTTAGTACTCCCTTGAATTATGTTCAGTGATATAGGTACAAACAAAAGCGCAATAAAAATCAGGATACCTAGGGTGGACAAATATATGTATAATCTGTAGTCTGCTTCATTAGTAAGCAATCTACTGTATTTACCATTAAATCCAAGGTTTTGTTGTTATCTTTTTGTTTTTTTGTTTGGGGGGCGATCGTGGCTCAAGAGTTGGGAGTTCGCCTTGTAATCGGAAAGTTGCCGGTTCGAGCCCCGGCTTGGACAGTCTCGGTTGTTGTGTCCTTGGGCAAGACACTTCACCTGTTGCCTACTGGTGGTGGTCAGAGGTGGCGCCAGTGTCCGGCAGCCTCGCCTCTGTCAGTGCGCCCCAGGGTGGCTGTGGCTACAATGTAGCTTGCCATCACCTGTGTGTGAATGGGTGGATGACTGGATATGTAAAGCGCTTTGGGGTCCTTAGGGACCAGTAAAGCGCTATATAAATACAGGCCATTTATCTGATTCATTCATGCCAGTTGCTGAATACATGTTTATCTGTCTAGAGGCTACAGTGCAATACAAAAACTGATTGGATAATGACAACTACATCCTTTTATTTATTTATTACATATTTTGTTCCTATAAATATAGTAAAACTTTTTTTAAACATCCATTGACAGTATGTTCTAGCGTTAAAGTGAGATTTTCAAAAATCCCCTTTCTAGAAAGAATTTTTTTTAAAAATGTGTCACAAAACAGGAATTGTCAACCTTTGTTTACTCAATTTTCATTTTATCCTCTGGAAAATAGCGACTGTTAGTACTAGTACTACTACTAGCAGTACTAGAAATAGTTATTCCAGGGCGTTAATCGCAATATCCGTCAGGAATGTAGCTAAAGGCTGTCTTTGTCGTTGTGCACTGTGTTAATAAAGGTTATTTAAATCCAATATGGCGGCGCCTACAGTGCAATCGTGAGCCAGGAAAACAGGTCGTTTACAACGGTTTTTAAGGCTGGTTGGGATGTTTTCTTTAACACGGACTGGCGTATTCTGTTATTGCGAGCACAGCGCGGAAATAAAGGAGTAGGAAATACAACGGTGAGTAGCTTCACAGAAGACATTTTCCCTCCTTTCCTTCATCCTTCAGCGTGTGTGCAGCTGACAGACTCCACGAACATGCACACAGCAGGTGTAAAAAGGTGTTTCCATTGTGTTTAATTCGCATTAAAGAGAGGAGTATTCGCTTATCTATGCGGATAAAGCAGCAGGTCAGGTTTATCACGAGAAATAACAACACGCAATACCGCTGTAGCATAAAGACGGAAAAGAAACCATGTCAAAACCCCTATAACGTGCATGTAACAAAGTCACGCGATAATTGGCGTGACGCATGCTGTATCGATGTAACGGGATGTGGACTATTTGTGGTTTTAAAATCCAAAATGTTTTTGCTCTTACTTGATTTGCTTGCTTGGTGCTTCTTACAAATATGCAGGAAAATCGTGTATAACTCTCATGTCAGAAGCCATATAGCTTATTACACCTCATTGTTAACAGTGTAAGACAAGCTGAACTGAATTTAACGTCTGCATTTATATGATCGTTTTATCCACTGAGGCCAAAAGTTGTTAGGAGTTGTAAATTTGGGAGCATGTGGTCAGAAAGACAAGCTGTGGTAACACAGTTTTGATGGTGTTTTGAGAATATTCTTATAAATGTATCCAATACATTTGATTACTGGCAACATTATCGTTTCTTGAGCAAATGTAAGTAAGTGCACCTTTACTCATTGTCTTAATATATGTGAGCTCTGGCACCAGAAACAGATGCATTTGACTTCTGACATATTGAAACACCTGTCCTATCTGAGCATTTATAAAAGATTCTCATAATGACTGACTGCACAGCTCTCCCCCAGATCCTAGTTTTCTGCTTTAAAAATATATTTTTAAATTGTCACAGTTACTGTTCATTTGAAGAATTAATCAGCCACCCCCACCCCACCCCACCCCTTGCTGAGTACTGGAGTCCAGCACACAGACTTGGACATCAGCTTGAGATGAAGCAGTGTTTTACTCTTTGTAGGAGACACCCGAATGGATGAGGCCAGTCACCATAGAAACATTATCTCAGTCTTTCGCCTCAGCCCACTCACTCGCACCGTCAGAGACGCGCACGGCGTTGAGTGCTCGTCTCTCCCAGCTTCAGCCTGAGGGGAGGAGTGTTGGTTGTTGTGATGCTAGCTTATACTCGAGAGAATATATTGAAGACAAAAAAGTCCCACAAACAGGTGGGTGGAGGAGAACCAGTGACAGCTGACAAAGCTCAGCTTTCTCCAAGTGATTTGTCCATCCTGGTCAGTTGTCTCCTTATAATCTAGGATGTAATTTTTTTTTAAAAAGCAGTGGTTTTTATTGCTAAAATCAGGTCATCTGAAACTTTCTCTCTCATGTTGATTTGTTTAACTGTCAAGTTTTCATAACATCAGCAATCCTACAATACAGAGTAACCTTTTCCTCTGAGCCCTCCTCAGCTTTAGTCATAATTTATATTTTCCCGACTGACTTGATGTCAGTCTGATGTCGGGGCGTGCTGATCATCTCAGCCTCCGCTTTGATGCTTAAAAGGTCTCTCTTTCTGAGATCCAGATGCGTCACTGCTGTGAAAATATTCTCCTTACAGGTCAGGTTAGCAGCAGTAGTCCTCCGCAGCCAAGACTGTGCTGACTGTACGAGCCTCTCAGGTTACCTTGGAAACTGTCTGTATATACAAGTCTGTGTCTGGGTGAAATCAAATCAAGGTTAAATGGGTTTTCGTACATACTGCTGACTGTCTGACCGACATTAAGCCAGCAGAAAGTTTAGCTTAACTGCTCTCTGATCATTAAGGAGGAATGGAAACCTTTCTGAAACAGCCTGCAATCAATCTGTTTTTCTTCTTTCAAGTTGTTAGCAGTGGGAGTGGTAAACTTTTTAAATTTATTTTATAGAGTAATCCTGTTCTGGACATTTTCTTTAATGTAGTATTTTGTCCTTTTTACCTACCAGTAATTACACAAATTGAGTGAAGCTGCCACTTCCATGCAGGTGATGTCCAGAGGCAGCTGGGTGCACTTAACCTCCTATAATGAAGTGGAAATAATCTAAAAGTACAGGGCCGATTTAAAGCCGAGAAATCGGTGTGTCATTTCATGTCATCTGACTGCAAATGACATTCTTTCATCCGAGCAGGCAGGTGGTTTGATACCTTAGATTCAGAGAGAGGCAGAGCTGTAATCACATCGCGCTGAATAAACCAGTCGTGCTGTTGTGTGAGTGACGTTGATGCGATGGACACAGGCTGTGAAGCAGCAGTGGTAAAAAGAAATAAAAAAAAAAAAAATCAGAGCTGCCATAAATTAATCGCAGTGGATGAAACTGTCACTCAGTCTGTTCACAACAAGTGGACTTTAATGTAATGTTGCTCATTCCTGTAGATTCAAGTCATCTGAAGTCATATGCACTGATGTGGGAAACCCTTTTCATACCTACTGCAGAACTATCAGAACAATCTCCAGACTGAAAACCTTTTTTTTAAACCCCTCAGCCCTAAAAGGCTGATGGGGTATTGTTGTCATCCTGCGGGCAACATGGACACCCACGTTTGTGAATAAGATAACTCGAGAACGAAGCAATACAGGCACTTCATATTAGTAACATAGTTGTATCTAAATGCTAAAAATTTTGGACAAGTTTGAATCTCAGTGACCTTGACCTTAAGGTCAAGTTTAAGTTTAAAAAAAAAATACTACAAATGTGATAACAGGAGAACAAGGCAAAGTGGGAGTTTGATATTCATACCGTAGATGTGTCTACTAAAAGGCTGAGGGTACCACCGGCTGCCGTCAGTATTTTTAAATCCTTCTAATCTGGAAGGGTTACGCATGCATTTGTTACATCTAAACTGGGCTATTCTAATGCACTTACAGTCCCTCTGGGAAATATTCACAGCGCTTCACTTGCTTCATATTTTTTCAGTCATTTTACAGTCGTAAATTCATTTTTTACCTCAAACAATACCCCACAGTGATAAGGTGAAGAAAAGGTTCTTGCAAATTTGGGCTCCTTAGTAACTCCTGATCATCAAAGCTTATTTCAAAAGAACCTCGTGTCTTTGCTGCTGCTGCACCAAAACTCTGCAGTGACCTCCCAAATGACCCAAATTCAAATGTTTAAATCTGAGTTGAAGACGCACCTTCTCTGTCAAGAATTTGGAACTGTGACCGGAAGATTTGGTTATTTCACGTAAACATTGTGACTGCGTGTAATGTCAGTGTTTAAGGAACCTGTAAAACACTTTGGGTTTAAATGTGCTATAAAATAAAATATACTTAGTTACTTATTGAATATTACACCATGGAGGGCATATCTGCCCTGTAGCCTTTTAGAATAATAATGTCAGACTCTAGTGGGTTTGAAAAATAAGTTTAGCTTATTCCACTCCACAAAAACCTGACTATTTTCTTTCATCTCACCATTTGGTCACATCGATGGAGATCCAGCACACACTGCAGTTGCACAAGTTTGGCCGGTCAGAGTGAAACTTCCAGGAAGCGATCCAAGCGTAGGAAAGGGCCGAAGGGGCACGAAGAGGCAGCTTTGAAAGGGAGAGCAGCAAAATCTATATCAGATAAAGTATTTGATTCATGTGGGCGGAGTCACGAGCCTTTTATTGTCATTTCTATGTAAAGATGGAAACTGCCGTTTCCATTTTCTGTCAGTTAGATATTTTAATGTGTGTGCATTCATGTTGTGTGTTTTATAAGCTATTTAATATATTTACCAAAGGTTAGGGGAAAGCTCGGTTAAAGCTGACCTCTACTGAAAAATAGAAACTTTAGTATTTCACTGGCATGTCAACATTTCCACCACTGGCTGTTTTCCTGTTTTATCAGACGCAATCATGCGGGTGTCCGTGCGAAGGCTGGCGCTGTATCCCCTGTTTGCAGCCCAAAGGAGCGGAGCCCTCCAGAGTCCATTTCTGCACCAAATTTCACCCAGGAGTCGCACCCTGTTCAGTGAGACGGGCGTGTGGGAGAAGGACTATCGAACAGAGACCAGACGCAAAGTGGAAGGATGGTGGCACCCGCGAATTATGGCGCAGTGGCGGAAGGATGCAGTGGAGGAGGTAAGAGGGTCTTTCAAAGTATCAAATAATAAGCTCAAGATTAAATGAATGATTGTTTTGCTTTTGGTAACCAGCAGTTACAAAAAAAACCCCAAAACTCAGTTTATATATGACACAGCAAGTGCTCCAGCTTCCTCTCACAGCTCAGAGGTATGCATGTTGATCTAATTGGTGATTTGTAAATTGGCCCTGAGATAGACTGGCAGTCTGTCTCTTGCTCAGTGTCAACTGGGATAGGCTCCTGTCCCACCACAATCCTGGTTAGGCAGTCTGGAACATGCATGGATGGAAATGCACTAAATCCTATAATAATCCTAATTATTATATAATCCTAATATAATAATCCAATAAATCCTTATTTAGATAAGAAGCTGGAACAAGCAGATGGTTGGCATTTCATTTGCCCCACATGCTGCTGCTGTAAAAATGTGTTGAGGTAAACTGCTAGTAGAAATGAATGTCTGATATGTCGAGTGAGAAACATGAGTCATCCTCAGTAAATACTTGACATAACAAAAATACTTCTTTCAGATGTTCTATGGCCTAAATAGAGGTCATTACTGTTGAATGAGTTGGAAATCATAATTGTACTCCACAAATCAAGGTTGCACCAACCAGTAGACGTCTTTTGTAGAATCTAAACATCATAAGCACAAACAAATGTTTTGTTTGTCCTTGCAAGAAAAACACAGATGTGTGTGTTTAAAAAACTGCTGATTTTATTTGAGTTTCACAAAACCTCTGCTGTGTCTACCTTGGGCCAAGTGCGTACTATAAATGAGGACAGTGGTAATTAGCTCCCCTCTTTAACCGAGCAAAACATTTTTAACCCACGAGTGAGTTCAAGAAATTCAAATGGATCCACACAATACAGAACAAGCCTGGTAGAGGTAGGAGCTGAAAGATTTCAAAGACTCTGGAAAGAAAACCAGTGAGAGATGTGTCTGAAGACCCCAGAACGACTGCAGAGACACAAGTGGATGACTTAACCAAGGCAGGAATGATATTCTCAAAGAAGAAAATCATCAAAAACCTGCACAAGAATGGATTGTGAGGTTGCAGACCATGGAAAAACTCCACTTCTGCAGAAGAGACACCTTCAGTCCAGACTAAAGTATGCTAAAGAAAACCTGAGGAAAGATTATAAATATTGCAAGTGCGTCCTTTGGCCATATGAGACAAAACTAGAGCTCTGTATCAGAGATACCGCTCATGTTTGGAGAAAGAAGAGGGAGATAAACAACTAAAGAACTCCCCAGTGAAAAGTGGTGGTGGGAGTATTGTTTTGTGGGAATGCTCCAGTGTGTCTGGGAGTTTGAATCTCACCAAGGTGAAAGAATCATGAAGAATTTAAAATAAAACCTCAAGCAGTCAGCGCAAAACTGGGTCTGCGTCATCGCTGTGTTCCAGTATGACAGCAACCCAAACATTCATAGCTCCTGGAAGAACAGCCTTCAGAATGCCAAAGTGAGCATTACTGACTAGCATGGACACATCCTGAAAAACTGAAACTCTGTGGGGTGAACTGAAGCCCAGGGTCCCTGCCAGAAGACCGTTAGATCTGGAGAAAAATGGGCTGTGATTGGAAAACGAGTGTGAGAAACGAACAACTGCAGGCTGTTATCCAGCTAAAATAATTATTAGCATCAGTGGGGCTAATAATTTTGACCCTGGTAGTATTAGCTTTTGTGACATAATTTTTTTTTTTTTCTGTGTGCAAAGTAAAATACGCATCCAAAGTAAAACTCTGACGTTTGGAAAAGCTCTGTTAAAAATTCCTTGTTTTGTTTAACAGCAATTGGGAAATACTTATTAGCACCTGAGCTAATAATTCTGTCCTCTGATCCTGTATTGAAACAGATCCACATGTATACATTTGAGGCACAGTTAGACGAATAGGTGCATGCTTCTAAATTATGCCCTCATCTATTATTGCCACTGACCCTCGCAGCTCATCTCAGACTCGGAGCTCTGGATGATTATATATCCTAATGGCCTGACAGTGTGGCAGTCTGGGACTGGCTCACAGTGATTAAGTGCATTTACCACAGAACTCTGGACCTAATTAATTTACTGAAAAATTCATGACTCACGTTTCCTGTAATCACGTCTTTCTGGGTGTAACTGGTACTTACTGCGTTGCTGTGGCAACAGCATTGAGACTGTAAATCACCAGCGGTCTGCACTGACACCATTTAAATTCGGACACTATAATCAGCCTCTGTTAGAGCCTTATACAGTAATATACCCCGAGTCAGTCGGCGCTCACGATCGCTATGTGATGAGCAGCTATTCCTGTTCTCATCAGTTTAATGGAGTCTCTGTTGTATGGGATTCATTCAGAGGCCAGCCTGATAATGGAGAGGCTCTTCTGCTGTGTGCTTTCAGGATTAAAAGTCAGTTTTATGGTCATTTGTCTCATGTCTCATGATTCTATAACGGCCTCTTCTTCTTCTTCTTTTTTTTTCCTCCAGAGTCCCCACAAGAAGAAGTTTTATGTCCTCTCTATGTTTCCTTACCCATCAGGGCGACTGCATATGGGCCACGTGCGAGTGTATACCATCAGTGACACCATTGGTCATTTCCAAAAAATGAGAGGGCATCAGGTATGTCAGCTTTTATTTTATTATTTTATTTTGTTTTGTTTCTGCCTTCTACCATCCCTATTGAAGCCGAACATGCTCTGCTCTCACAGCGGCAGTTGTTTAGCGGTGCCATATTTCAGAGTCCCGAGAGCTGTTTAGCTTTAAGTTTGCTGACTCTGTAAGTAAATTACAGGGTTTTATGGCCAAGACAGAAATTCCATAAGTGATATTACAGGACACACTGCTGTTTGATGTAAATGGATTGGTACTTATAAAGTGCTTTTCTGCTCAGTTTAAACTCTCAAACTGCTTTCTTACAAAACTATTATTTCTTTGTTGTTTCAATGCCTCTTTGCAATAAATCTAAAGGCTGTTTATTTCTAATTCATGCATTTGTGTGTTGCGCTCATGAAAAACCTTCCAGATCTTCTCTGCCAATGACAAACCGCTTATTCTGCTATTGACTGTTGATTGATGGTGTTTATCGGATCGGATGATGATGTGGAGGAACGTTATCTTTGGTGAAAAGCGCTATTTCTGTGAGGTCTGTCTAACATTCACACTCCAGTGGATGCATCTGAGAGCAGTTTGGTTAGTATCTTGCTCAAGGATATAACCACCAACCTACTTCCTGTGCTACAGCCAGTCCTGAATTCAACCCCACCGAACGCTTGTGGGATCAGCTTGGGCGTGCCGTTCGTGCCAGAGTGACCAACACAACTGGCCGACTTGTGACAAATGTTAGTTGAAGAATAAGACGCCATCCTACCCCAGTGTGTGACCAAGCTGGTGACCACCATGAGGAGGAGGAGGTGCCAGGGTGCTGTGCCTTTGTATGTGTACGTCAATCATCTTCAGTGTTGGGAAGGTTACTTTTAAAATGTATTCCACTACAGATTACAGAATACATGCCCCAAAATGTATTTTGTAACGTATTCCGTTACGTTACTCAAGGCTGCACTTTTTGCAGCAGTCTCCTATAGAAAACTATTCCTCACCTGTAAAACAGGTTCGCAGCTCCGAACCGTAAAGGCGTAAAACCGTAAAGGGACCTCTGGCTAATACTTCGGGGTTCGTGTCGGGCTCGTAGCTGAAGACTAGCTTTACTTTGTTGTCTGAGTCAACTTTGCTAGTGAGAGACAGAGAGAGGCGTTGAAAGGCTGCTCCAGCAGAACTTATTGTTTCGGAGGAAAACGCGAACACGGTGTACAGTCGAGTCTTAATAGCTTACTTACAACTGGGCTCTTTTTGGCTGCAGTGGTTATTATTATATTTACATGCTTCCATCTCCCGTTTTTGCTCGGTGACAGCTCGTGCTTTTCCACTCTCCTTTTTCTCCCTCCCTCGCTCACAGACACATAACGGGTATGTCAGTCCATTCAACCTGCAGCACGGACTACACTGCCCATGAGGCTACATTGTTTACAGTTATGCCTGTAACACTTCTCCTATTGTCTTCATATTAAATAATTTTTGTGAATAATTTTTTAAAATATTTCTTCACGTCATTATGCGAGCCGCAAGTAGAGGTGACATGGACCACGAGATTGAGACGCAGACATTAGAGCCTCTTAATGCGTGTTTTGTTTGGGTTTCCACCGGCATGGAAACTAAAAATAGAGAGAGCATAGCCTAACATATGAAACGGGAAAATACTGCCGTGTAATCCATTTATTTCAACAAAGTAACTGTATTCTGAATACCACCTTTTTAAACGGTAACTGTAACGGAATACAGTTACTCATATTTTGTATTTTAAATACGTAACGGCGGTACATGTACTCCGTTACTCCCCAACACTGATCATCCAATATCCAATAAGTGACACCAAACAAGAGTCAATAACAGAATAAGCTGTTTGGCACTGGCAGAGAAGATCTTTTTAAGTTTTTCATGGGTGCAACTCACAAATGCATTATGCTTACGAATGTGGCAACATTAAAGGAGAAATACACAAGCTTTGTACTGGTGTGGGATTTAGTGCCTAGAAGCATTGTTACAACAAAGGACCATTCACACACAAATAATACATACAGGAGGAGAAGCAGGTAACAGGTAAACACTGAGAATACCCCATGACAATAGCACATTCAGGTGTCCATCCCTGTAGGAATGAGCCTGTTCTGCACGCCTCAGTTCGGCTTATTGTGCGCTATCTTCCCCTCACCGCGCGTCTCTCCCTGTGACAAACAAAAACTTACAAAGGACGTGACGCCCTCAAATGTGCTGTTTGAGACACACACTTGGTGTTATTGTGAGGAGTTAAATGTAATGGATGTGTTTTGGCTGTTGTTTAGTAATATTGGGAAAAATGGTGAGTCAGTCCTTCATTGAACTCGTCTTTGATACAAAACATGACGCTGCATTGACAGTATGATTGCTGCTTTCTAACTGGAGCCACTTCAAAAGGCTCCCCTCACCAATCCGTAACCCACTTTTTTTCTGTTTATTTCTGCTCAACAGTTCTTTAATATCAGCTGTGTTTACACTGCTGGACTCACTGTTTACTCTTCCTCCGAACTGTGAAGCTTCCCATCTATATACACGTGTAATGCTTATGCAGTAGTTTGACTTGAGCATTAATATGAGTGTGATTAGAAGCTTAAGTCTACCTCAGGGAGCCTGTTTCTTTCAATTAGATGGCCGACGTTTACACCGCCGTGAGAGCGTGTAATTAAATTGTTCTTTGTTGTACTTTGATTTCTATTGTGTACATCCCTTTGCTTTTTAAATGCTCATTTCAACGCCACACCCAGGTGCCAGTTTATTACTCTAAATGAGAGTAATGAATCCTACCTTCTCACAGGTGTTGATTCAGCTGTAATGTCAGCCTGTATCAGTGTCTCGTGAACTGTTTTTGGGGCAATTACCATGACAGAAATTAGAAAACATTTTACACTTAACCCCATCAAGGAGGAGGTAATGTTTTTTGTAATGTTTGTGTATGTGTGTGTGTGCGTGCGTGCGTGTGTTACTCTTACTGCCTCAAAAAGTTTTGAATTGATTCTGATTTTAAAAAACAAACTGTGTAGAGTGGGCTTTTGGTTTCAAGCCATTAACATTTGGATTAGATGCACCAAGGTCTTTAAGGCCAACTTAATGCTTTATTGGTCAAAAATTGACAAAAACTTTCAATAAAATTAGAAATAAATTAGAGGCTATGATTCTTACAAGTATAAAGATTTAAAATATTGTCTCATGTTTGACCTCTGACCTCTACTTCAAGGTCAATAGATTATGCTGAAGGTCATAGTGATAATAATCCTATATAGGGCTGTTTAAAACTGTCTTTCTTACTGCCGTTGTGTGCAAAGACAGTATATAGTGAATGATATATAGGCATTATAAATATCACTGTACTTTGAACCTCTGACGTCTTCTTCGAGGTCAAATAAGGTCAAACTTTCGTAAAATGACTCATCTTTAAGGCTAATATTGAAATATACTGCCTGCTGGGATTCTGAATATCACATTATAGTTTGCATTCAACTATCATGTCACATTTGACGTCTGCCTTTCTTTCAAGTTTCTTTCAATCCTAAGTTTGAAGAGTTTAATTTCAGTTTAGTTTTTTTTTTTCAGTATTGCTGTATTTGTGGCAAGATTTAGGAAAATCAGTGCACAGCAGGACATTTTGAAAGCAGCTGACTGAGTCTTGTAGACATCCGAAGCCTCAATAAACACGTCCACAAAAGTCTCTTCGGATAGTTTGTGATAACAGATTTGACCAAATGAACACATGACAAAACTACGTTTATTTCTGCTGCACAAAATTATTTCAGAGATCTGGTTTTTATTATAGTAGTTAACTTTCATGACTAGTTTTAGTTTTTAGTTTACTTTTAGTTAACTATAACCTTGGCTGACACTGAATCCTTCTTACAATAAAGTGAGGAATGAAGTCGGCCCATAAGCAGCTGTTTTGCTTTTCCTATAAGGTGTTTCTATGGTTTTTAATACCTGCTGTGGTAATTTGGATCCTCGCTATGAGGTCTCCTTGTAAGGTTAAAATTAGGTGTAAATAGAGTAAAATCCATACTCTCGATTACCAGCGCTCTAGTCTGTTATTGACTCCACTCTGTTTCAGCTCCTAGTGCTGCAATCGATATTCAGCACTCTGTTTGATTCCACTAAACGGCGGCCGCTGATGAAGCCGCGAGCAGTGACTGTCACATGGACCGTGCTCCTGCGGTGACACAAACACCTCCTGCTCAGTTCTTTGGTTAGACTTTGTCTGTACATGATCTATCCACCCAAGAAGAAAGGTGGGTGTGTGACAAGTTTCTCTCTTCCTCTGTGTTTTCTGGTCCAGGTGCCGTCTTTACACGAGATGCAGTGTTATTTTTGTTTCACCTGCCCGTCTTCCTCTGGCTGGTTTCTCTCTGAACAGAAACCTGGTGTCACATCACTGATAACTACTTTGTTTCTCTCGGCATCGGTCAGAAAGTTGAGCTTGTTCTGCTGTATGCACTCAGTCTACCCTATTCAGTAGTTAACTGAGAAAGGTACTCGCTCTCCTTTAAACGGTTATGTGGGAGTTCTTCATGTGTCACATACTAAATTAGAGAAAGTTTTAACCTAGACCTAACCTAGTTCTTTATAAATATCAAAATATGAGGTAATCAAAACAAAAAAAGAACTTTTAACATTTATTGTAAGTACAAAGCTCATGCTAATAATCACAGTAAACTGGAAAAATTAAAGTCGTTCCTGAAACTTCAAGTGTGGTTTTTTTACACTTGTTTTTGGGGTTTTTTTAACACTTATTTTTTTCTCAGAATTCTGAGAAAAAGTTGGAGATTCTGAGATTAAAGTCAGAATTCTGACTTTAATCTCAAAATTCTGACTTTTTTTCTGAGAATTCTGACTTTAATCTTAGAATTCTCAGATCATAGTCAGAATTCTGAGTAAAAAATCTTTCTCAGAATTCTGAATATAATCTGAGAATTCTAGGGGAAAAAAAGTCAGAATTCTGAGATTAAAGTCAGAATTAAAATCTCAGATCTCTAAGCAAAAATTTAGAATTTTGAGACTAAAGTCAGAATTCTGAGGGAAAAAGTCAGAATATTGGAAAAGGGGAAAAAAAAGATGTGCCCACCTTTTTTTTTTCTTCCCCCCCCCCTCGGTGACCCTAACCCTCTTCCGTAGATATTAAAATGAGTTTGATGCAAAACATAATAAGCGTGACAAATGGTCCTAATTATTCAAACCATGACTGAGTACCGTTTTCAGTTTAGATAGATATCATGGGCACTGCTGCTGGGTGTAAGCATATATGTGAAAACAACAACGCTTGTTTCTTGCTTAGGAAAAATAATAATTTTTACAGTCTATACCACATGTGTCAAAATCGCGGCCTGCCGACATTTAAATCCAGCCACACGTCACTTGAGCTTCTTCACACAGAATTCAACAAAAGGAAAGTTGATTTTTCAGAGCAGACAATTTCGGCTGAGACGAGACCCTGAGTCTACGTGATCACCAAGTGTTTTCTTCTCTCTTTTGTTCAAAAAAACGTTACTTTCTGGTGGGTTTTTTGGTTTACAAAAATTCACTGTTAACTATTACATTTGCACTCAGTAACCTTCATGTTCTATTGGAATATAACCAGAATACGACCGGCTGGCAGCCTGTGGAGTTGAGTCCTGTGGAGTTGTGCTTATTGACAGAGAGACTCATTGAGACTGATGGATATGGAATGATGACGCTGCTGATTATCACAAATCATTTCCTGACATAAGCTAGACTTAATTTAGTTTCAAGACGGTAACAAAACTATTAGTTTGCTTAAAAGTAGGATTGCTTTTAGTTTGACAGAGATGCATCTAATGGGCAATGATGGTACACAGACATCAATATCAGCTTTTTTTATTATTTAGCTGTCAGAGCAAATCTTCAGGCTTTTCAGGCTTTTTCGTTTCATGCTTATAAATATTAGCTGGTGGTAGGTTCAAATTTATCAAACACACGTGTGTATTGGTACATTTTCACCACATTTAGAGCATGAAAAGGAATAAAAATGCTAAAGACGGGCGCCAGTATAGCTCACTGTGTTGAGCATGCAACAGATGTACCAAAAGGTTACTGCAGGAACCCGGGTCATTTCCTGTGTGACGATCCTCCTGCACCACCTTTTCTTCTGCCCTGCTGTCCTGTCCAATATAAAGGCTGAACTACCCAAAAATAAGCTATTTAAAAAGACTAATAGGGCTGGTCTGCCTCTACACATACACTGATGTGTAAGGGTTGGTAAAGGAGTAGTTAACCTTTGAATGGGCTAGTGTAACGAGGAAACGTTTATCAAGTTGCATTTCAAAGTGTCAGATGGAGTGGAGTTTGTCTGGAGCTGTGTGGGTGGACACTTGCATGTAGCATCATATCAACAACATCAGTCTCCCAGCTCTTCTCTTCTGCTTTCATCCCATGGTGCCCTGCCCTGATTGGCTCTGACTTTGCTTTACAGTGACTTCAGTGACTCTCTTGTCCATCTACCACAATCTCTTGTCAATGTGCTGATTTCACGGCCACAGATTCTCAAAAAGTCGGGGTAGCTTCACACTTTCTGTGGTCACAAGGATAAGTGGAGCTATTACCAGTGAAGTATTTACGCTGGATCAAGCGTGTAGTAGCACATCTGTCCTAACATTTTTCCGCTTGCAGTTCACATCGTGGCTGCTTTACTCACAGTGTGGCTGTATTCCTCCTGAGCTCTCTTAGCCTGATACCATCCAGCACTCGGCTTTACAAATGAGGCCCCTGCAGTTACCAAGGATACCAATTCGTCTGAAACATCAGACCAGTTAGGGTCCGTTCAGCGATGCTCTCCAGCTCTCGAGTCCTCGTCGCTCTGCCTCTCCTCTACTTTACTCACGCCTTCCACTCCTGTGCTCTCATTTCGTCTCGCCCAGTAAGCAGAAAAACACCATCGAGGACCCAAAAAGATGTCGCCTCGAGTGTTTGCCTGGGGGAGCCGTGCGTTCAGAGAGGATGTGTATAGAAAGTGACAGTATATTTACAACAAGTTCAGGGTAATAATGTAAGCATGCTGACCCTTCTTTCTAAGGTTAAACCAGTTTCTTTTACATTTTAGTAAAACATCGGCTCTTAGTCTGTGTGCTTTCATCCCGATGTGTAAGCTCCCAGCAGGGATTTACACATCACCATAAAGTTGATGCGTGCAGAGGACCCTCGTTCCCTCCTAGACTGACTTGTTTTTTTGGTTTAATAGTTACTGATTGCATAAATCCTGCTGTAATGTGAACAGCATGCTGATCAGAGGTGCTGTCAGTTAATTATGTGAATGATGCACGTTGACACCACAGGGCTATTTTCATTTTCCTCCTTTCACCTGGGAAACTTTCTCCTCTTGGTCTAAGTGTGATGTTAAGTCTGAAGCCTTCAGTGACACTTTTGACCAATATTTAGACAGATTTCATATCGTTTCAGAGAAGCCATTTTTTGGTTAATTCAGCTCCTACTCTATAAAAAGTCATAAAAAAGGAATATCGAATGGCTTTCACATTTTTCCAGAAAGCTAATGAAAATAACGAGTTCCCCGACTGTGTCTGCAGGTCTTAAATCCAATGGGCTGGGATGCCTTTGGACTTCCAGCTGAGAATGCAGCCATAGAGAGGGGGCTTGACCCAGAAGACTGGACTAAAAGGTATTTTAACTATTACATCTCAGTGTTTGTTGTTTTTATATACTAACTGGAATTGGCCCACTTTTGTGGTGCTAGGTTAGACCCTGTCTTGACTTACAAATGTAGACCGTGCCTGCAAACAAATGAATGGCTGTCTAAGGGAATTCAAACAGTTCTTTAAAACGAATACTGGCATTGCCATTTAGTCATCATTTATAGTTGTCAAAAACACAATAAGCCATAAAATGCTCTGAATTACAATTAAATTCTAAAATTGCATTTAAGTAAACAAAATACTAAATGGAAAGTTATACCTTTAACCATTTAATTCAAACATATTTTGTATTTTTATATTTCTTATCTTTAATTTAAAATGACTTGTGTTGTTGCTGGATGTCATCACTCAGACATCCCACCGATGCAGTGAGTTTCTCATCTCGAGCTGACAGATTACATGCTCCGGTTTCTTCTTTTTCCTTTAAGTCTTTTTTTCATACCAATTTTTTGTCCAAAAGATATTCAGAACCTCCGTTATTTCAGCCAGAGCATCGCTTTTTATTATTATGTGTTTTTTTTAAACAGTGCTCACAGAAACACTTTGGAAACATTTGCCTTTTTCCAGCTTCCTCTTTGAACACAATTGTTTCGGTTTCATCAGTCAGATTGTTCAAGAAACCAGTTTGTGGTGGTGGAGGTTTTGTGATATGGCCTGATATCCTGCTAGAAGAAGCTATTAGACGATGGGTGCACTGTTGTCATAAATGATGCTCGACTGATATTAAAGGTCCTAAAGTATGCCCAAAGAAAAAACTCTTCCACAGCATTACACCACCAGAAACCTGAAGCTTTGTTGGAAGGCAGAACAGATCCATGCTTTCATGTTGTTTGTACCAAATGCTGACCCTACCATCTAAAGCAGCAGAAATTAGGACTTAACAGACCATGGAGACAGACTATGGTGAGCATATGCCATCTGTAACCTCAGTTCCCTGTTCACAGCTGACAGAGTGGCACTGGATGCAGTCCTCTGTTGCTGTTGCTGATCAGTTTAGCTGATTAAATATTTGTGTTGAGCAGCTGAAAAGGTGTACCTAACAAAGTGGCCCATGAGTGCACTATATCCTAACTCTAGCGCCGTTCCTCTCGCTTCAGTAACATACAGTCTATGCGGGAGCAGCTGGACACTCTCGGGCTTTGCTTCAACTGGGACCGGGTAAGCAGCACGTGATGATGAGCTGAGCATCAGACAGAGAGTTTTGGCAGCTTTCAGGCCCATTTTGCTCCCTTTTGAGTCTGATTCTCACTTTCCTGACAGGAAGTGACCACTTGCCTCCCAGACTACTACAGGTGGACGCAGTATATATTTATCAAGCTCTTTGAAGCGGGACTGGCATACCAAAAAGAGGTATTAATCGTATTTGCGCTCTGGTTTATCCTGGATTTCTTTTAAATGAATAATATGACTTGCGCAGGTTTCAGATCCCTGACTGGTACAGTAATGATTGAAGCAGCTCAGAGTTTTCTCTTTGACTGGATTAAATGGTAGACAGGCTGGAAAAAACCTTTTTCATTTTGTGTAATAAAATGCAGTGGCCTTAAAATATGCTTTTAAATATGAGCTACTTCTTAAGCTGTGCTTTTCAATTTGTGAGCTCATGTGTGCCGTTTGGTTGTGTGCTGTGTGCGTGCGTGTGTGTTATCCAAGGCTGTGGTGAACTGGGACCCTGTTGATCAGACGGTGCTGGCTGATGAACAGGTGGATGAAAATGGGCACTCCTGGAGGTCTGGAGCTCTGGTGGAGCAGAAGCTACTCACACAATGGTTCATCAAGACTACAAACTATGCCAAGGTATGACTGTAGCGCGTGTGTGTGAGAGGCAGTGCTAGAGAACAAGAGCTCCGTATGTGTGTGACAAGCAGCATCTGAATGGCTGACCAGAAACTTCATGTGGGCAAAAATGAGCTGCGGAGCCCTCTGATAACAATCATGGCTGACACTTCAGTAACAGCAGCTGCAGTCCTGCTTCTCTGGTTCTGCAATCAGACCCCTGGAGACCGTCATTTATAGCCTGGCATCTCTACTTCAAGGAAAAAGAGACCAGAAGCCTCAGTAATACCACCAGGTGGCCTGGCTGGCTGATGAGAAGCCTCCACCTTTAAGCAGAGGGGTGAACAGGGCTGGTGCACGGTGAAATTAGCCGTTTTGGACTTACATGAATCAGCCTCAGAAAGAAAGTTCATACATTTTTCATGGAACTCATGCATGTGTGTGCATGTGCTTGCACATAGAAATACACTGTACAGGCAGGTACCTATAAAAGAGAAAAGTTTGGCTTTATGTGCTCAGTGCTTGAGCACTTTAAAGTTGAATATATCTTAGTTTGTTTGCTGAGTTGAGAAAAATTGGGTAGAAATGTTTCTAATAACATTTTTTTTTGTTTCTAGAGCTGCAATGAGGGATTACATTCATGTTTAGTTAATGTTAGTCGATCTTAATTTTGTGGGGCATCTTTTTTGGTGTCTAAATGTGCAGAAAATCCCCCAAAAATTGCAATACCAACAAAATAATTCAGCTTCAAAGCCATCCAAAACTTTAAACATAGTCAGAGATACAGAACATCAAAGCAGTAAATCCTCACATTTGCCTAGCAAAGTTTGACATCTCTGCATTCAAATTATGGGTTCAGTCACTGCCTGATTATTTCAGCTCTTCTTGTTTCCATCACAATATAAAAGAAAGCATAAGCAAGTTTTTGTGAGTGGGGTTTCATTTCATACTGAGATAACATTGAAACCAGTGCCTGGGAGGTGTGAAATAAATGTAAAAAAGAAAAACATTGGAAATGATGCAAAACACATGTAATTTCCAATAAAACAAACCCCAAACTTGCGAGAGCACCAGCGCGTCCGTTTGAGGGTTTTATTCGCTGCTTTGTCACTTTGATTAAAAAAATAATTTCGTCCGCAGTCGGCTGTCGCTCAGGTTCAGCCGCGGCGCCGAAGTCGCCCGTGCGTGTCCGTGTCAGAGGTTTGAGCGGAGGTGGAAGCAGCCTACTGTGACAATGTGTTCCTGCATTTCTAATTTTCTCTGAAGAGCAGAGAAGTGGGAAGGAAGGAAGAGGAAGGTGTTAAGGGAGAGAAGTGAGAGAGACAGATGGAGGGAAAGGCGGACCGTGTCAAACCAGAGCGTGACAAATAAAAAGCGATGTAATTGGACTGTGATTTCCTTTTCTTTTTTTTTTATTTCTGTCCGCTCGCCTCTAAACGTGTTCGAGTCTGTTAGACAACATTAACTTCAGGCAATATTTATTCAGTTTAGCTGTCAAGTTATTCCACATTGTGCAACGACTGTGTATTATTACTAAGATGGATCCTTTTTTTTTCTTCCCATGTGGAGCGTGCAGGATGCTAAATGATCACATGGCAGGAGCAGGAGTTTTCAATTTCATGCATAATCACACTTGTTGCACTCAGACAAATGCTGCCTGCCTATTACACCACGACTGACATCTAAATGATTCACAAAAAGCGAGAGCTCAGTGCGCCGCTCACATGCAGTATTGTTCAAATAGCTTCCAGAAATGTTTGATTTCCTCCAAGTAAATTAACACCCGACAACTGAACCCACTTCCAAAGTGCAGCTGTTTGTGTGTTTCCTCACTGTGTTAATATATTTCCCAGAAGTGTACTTGACATGTCTCACTCACACATGCACACACAGTCCTTGGTTACTCTTATTTCATGCTCGAGCTTTTCTTTGTTGCCAGGGACTCATGTCCTTGCTGTTAATGTTTTTTCTGGCTTTTGTGAGAAAAACACTCACTGCCTTTCACTTTAAAGCCGTGCCCGATTCTCACTCGTAGCTTTTTTTTCGTCATCTTTGTTTTGCTGTGTCTCCTTCCAGCAGCCTCTCAGTCACGCTGACACACGTTCTTCAGGATTTATGCCCCTTTTTTTCCCCTCTCGCTCTGAAGGGAATCCATAACTGACGAGCTGCACTCATGCTAGCGATGACTATGGCCAGTGTTTATGTTTGTATTGATAACTCTGTGATGAGGTACTGCATGCTGAACTGCACCACGATGGGGTGGAGGGGTGGTTTGTGGGTAATAGATGCTGACAGACTGAAAAGGAAATTGAGAATTATAACATCTCTGGCCTCAGACCAGCTGTGGCTTTTTGGCTTGAGCCTCGTTGATATGCATAGCTTCCTTTAATCATGCAGTATAAATGTTGTTGTGTGTCTGGGTGTGTGTGTGTGTGGGGGGGGGATGGGCTTATGGGTGTGTATGTGAAGTGTGGGTGTGTGAGGTAGTGTGCACACTATATAGGCGATTGCTTTGCGATATCCAGGAAAGAGGGCGAGCAGAGGTCACAATTTTTGAGAATCCCTTTTTGTCTGCATAATGTGACCTGGTCGGCTCTGCTGCTTTGTCAAAATAAATTGGCTGCGCTTTGAAAGAGGCCACACGGAATTGGAGTCAATTGCATTATCCTAGACAGCCACATACTAATAGGAATATCTCTTTTCCACAGCGAAGTGGAAAATTAGCTCCTTCCAAACTTGTACAAAGTAGTAAACTTGTGGCTTTATCTCTTTCAGCCCCTCCTGGACGCCCTGCAGGACCTTCCAGAGTGGTACGGGGTCAAAGCCATGCAGGCAAACTGGATTGGAGAGTGCACGGGATGCTACTTCGACTTCAAACTGAAGGTGGATCTCGACTCCTTTCTCTCTCCTCTTCACTTTTCTTGTTTTCTTTCAGTCTCTCAGCACTTTCCCAGAAAGTGCTCCCTCTTCTGTGCTTCTGTTTTTCATCTCTTTCACCCCGAGCACTGATTGCTTGCTTTGAGTTTCTTTGACAGCTCTCTTTTTATCTGTTTCTATTAAAATCATGTACCAAAACATAGAAATCCACACTTATTATTTGCTTTCACTGCATCTGCTACAAGTAGCAATTTACCCAAACAGATGATGTCGCAGATTACTTGCTGCTGAAAGTCGTATTTAGACTTCTTCACAAGCCTGTTGTCTCAAACTGAGAGACATCAAAAAGCCAACTGAGAACCCAATTACTGCCATTATTAAAGCAGTTTTCCTTAAAAATAAAAATCACTCAAGTCGGTTCTAATTGTGATATTTTGTAGTATTTTTATATTTATAGAGGAAAGAGGGTTGGATAATAATTGAAAAGGGTTGTTATGAAGGAATGTAAAATTAAAGTAAAAACTAGAGTTTGTAAAATGCTGCTGTTAATTGCAATTATCTCCTATCAGTATGATTTTAGCATGATGGGTCCTAATTGTTAATTAGAATATCCTTAAATAACTGTGCGCCATCTAAAAGTGATCTCAGGATGTTTATTGTAGCTAAAAGAGCCCAGTAAGCCCTGAAGGTGTTTTATATGTCTGAGTCACTGTGGTCAAGTTTTATAAGCTGTGATTCAAAATTTGTGTATATATATGTGTGTATATGTTATAAAAATTGTTATGTTATAAAAATCATAAAAATGCTAACCGTTGCTTTGTTCTAGTTTTATTTGCCATCTTACAGAAATATGGAATAGAAAGCCAGCAGGTCCTCGCTGTTTATTCGACCTCTGTGCCGCTGTGGATGTGACAGTTTCCCACATGCCTCCTCTCTTATTTTCCAGGTGAATGGGAATGAAACAGGAGAGACCCTGTCAGCCTACAGCTCCTCCCCGGAGACGGTGTACGGAGCTGCTTACCTGGCCATCCTGCCCTCCCACAGACTGCTGCACGGCAGTAGCTCAGTGCGCTCCGCTCTGCAGGAAGCCTTTCAGCCAGGCAGAGGTTGGCATCTCTCCACACTCGCAACCAGCTTGTGCTCAGGCTGTTTTCAAACTGGAGTTTACACACTTTAATATGTTCTTGTATGATTACTAGCTTTTCTTTGAAGAAGTGCGAACTATATTTTTTATACACTTCATTAAAGTTTTGTATTGTACTTGTCTTTATGTGTTCCATATCCTGGAGTGGATGCATGTTGGATACCTTGCGCTAATGTAAATATTTAATTTCGAACACAGTCGAGGTTTGGTTGTAGAAGCTGCAGTGGACTGTTTGTTAATTGGGTTCCCCTTGAACTAGTCTCAGTGGTGAACAGTTGTTGATAATGAGCTGCCAGGGGAAGCAGCGCTGCCTCTCATTCCCCTCCTGCCCTTTGCTCTTCAGACTCCCTGACAGACATCACCGCTCACAACCTGTTCACCGGCCGTGAGATTCCCCTGGTCATCTCACACAAGGAGACTTTTGATGACTATCTGGATACGGTGGTTGGTGCGTTATGAACAAGTAAAAAGGATTGAAATAAGCAGCATCTTATGTCTGTTGAGTGGTTTTTACCTTCTTGACATGTTCATGCTGCACATGTATGTTACAGGTGTCCCGGACTGTAATGAAGAGCATCTGTCTGTAGCTAGAGCTCTGAATCTGAGTTGGGCATCAGTGCTGAAAACTCGTGAAGATGGGACACAAACCCTCATCAACTCTGAGGAGGTCAGCACTAATACTAATCATTCTTTAATAAAAAGCAAACAACACTATTTTCATTCTTTTGTCCCTCTTCTTTTATCTGTTGCATAGTTCTCAGGCCTTACCAGAGAGCAAGCCTTTAACTCTATTACCCAGAAGGCCAAAGAACAGAAGGTTGGAGGCTACCTAACCAGCTCCAAGCTCAGAGATTGGTTGATATCCAGACAGCGATACTGGGGCACACCCATCCCTGTGGTGCACTGTGGGTCATGCGGTCCGGTCGCAGTCCCTGAGGAGGAGTTACCAGTTACTCTGCCAAAGCTGCCATCGATTACAGGAAAAGGGGCGTCGCCTCTAGAAGCGGCACATGACTGGGTCAACTGCAAATGTCCCAGGTGAGAACGCTGAGTATTATCAGCCCTGTATAACGCACAGCAGGACTGTAGACTTCATTTATCCCACTTCATGTGTCTCATTAACCTTTCGTGCCATTACAAACAAATAGATAAGCAGTGTATAAGAAGGAGGGAAGGAGAAGGTACAGGATGTGACATCTTTCTTAAATCCTTAAAAATGGAGAATTAGTATTTGTAAATTGTCTATAACACGCAGTGATGCTCACAGGGCCTTACATTCCTTCCTAATATTCAAATTAATGTAGAAAATGCACAGGAAAGAGTAGCAGCTAGGAGGTGCTGAACCCTCTGTTATGCTTTTATAGACCACACAATAACAGTTTTAATGAGTGCATATAATTACTACTATAGCCTGTACTTGTTATACTGGTCAGCTGCAGTTTATTATCTAAGAACAAACATATAATCCATAAAGTGTCAGTGTCACTGCAGCCAGAAAATGCAGCTTGGGAAGCTGTTTATAGCAGCTTTTGTCATTTATGCACCTTAACATTTGCTTACAAGAGTCCAAAGAGTTTGTTGGCTACCATTGAGTGAGCCATATTATTTATTGCATAGCTGCAAATAAAATTCTTCAAAAGGCGCAAACTCCACAAAGAATGGCTGAGAGGTCTTTTTTGTATTAGATTAACTGGAACAAGGCCCCACAAACAGGAAAAATAGCAACAGAGCAAAATCGTATTCTTGCATCAGGATTAAACATGTTTACGTCTGCTATAATGTTGAATCGTTTAAAATAGAAGTCTCTGGTGACCGTTCGAGGAACTGCCTCGGAGGTCACCGCTCTGGTTCTTTTCTACAATTTGAAAAATCCGGTCCGATTAGTGTGGGAACTCCTGAATATGTTCACTCCAATCAAGCCTTTTGTTCAGTTCTGTATCTCATAGATCTCATTTGCACAAGTATCACTGGATCAACACCATCTCCTGAAGCACTGTTAGTATTAGCATCAGCACAGCCACACGTCCGTCTATGTCATACTGTATATGAGATACACGGTGTTATTCCTTTTCTAGCACAGCATAAGCGTTTTGGGGAAATGATCATGCCTGTTATGGCGTTTGTGGCCGCCTTTCCTTCCTGTGTTTCCTCAGGAGAACAACACTGACAAAATGAGATCGCTGTCAATCGGGCCTGAGAGGACTGACAGCTTTACAGGAACACTTTGCATTGAGTGCAAGCCTGTAAATTGCATGATTAATACTTTTGTTCATTCGGGGTTATGTAATCAGTGGCATCTCTGACACGAGCAGCATGAGATGATGATGATGATGATGATGGGTGTTATATAAGCCAGCTGTGTCTCGAGAGATGCACACGAATGCCCTATAAGCACGGACATACATGCATTTACCTTTTATGCACAGTGCCTAATCATTCACACACACACACACATCTCAGCAGCTCATCAGTGAATGTGCTGAATGCAGAATGACTGCTCAACTGGCGTCTCCAGAGCGCCTTGCTGACATGGGAATTCCTCTCTGAATAAGACTAATCACCGCCATGGCACCATGTTGATTAAAACCAAGGCCCACTCAGTCGCAGATGGCACAAGTCATCAGATTGTGTTCACTCACTTCCACAAAGCTACTATAATTCCCCCCCATCAGCAGTGATTGATGGCTATAATCGCAAAGACGCCGTTATCTCCTCTCTTCCCATCTCCCCTCCGTTGTTAAGTGTCTGTTGAAATTTGTTCTCGTCACTTGTCGACCATGTCCAATTAAAGTTTCCGAGGAACACAGACGGGCAGGGCGATGAGAGATGGGTGGCAGGAATGCAGTTTTGTCTGTCCTTGACGAAGTCATTTCCTGCGTGCTCATCTTTGTCTCATAACCTCTGCAGTTCTGTAAATTGGTCTGCCAACTGAACCCTGAGCTTTGATTTAGTCTGGTTTAAGAAGGTGTGCGTGCAGGTGTGGGTTTGCAGGTAAAAGGCGAGACTGCTTAGTTAGCACAACACCAACATTTAAGCAGGTGGACACACAGCAGATTGGGGCCACGTTGCTGTAGTAGAGAGCTTTCGAGTGGACAGCTGCCTCCTTTAGCTGCATCTGTTTGAGAGCCTTTTGGCTTTTTCTGGCTCACCCTCCAAACACACACGCACATTTTACACACTCTCTCCAGCACAGGTTTGTTTTAGCTACCAACTTTTGTTGTTGGGCTCCTTTCATGGCTTAGAGAAGGCCCACCTCTGGACAGAGCACCTTTGTGTCATCAAATCTCATCCTCAGTAGTCTGGGACCAGCTGTCCGTCAAATAGCCACAATCTGACTCCTGATTGGTCCATACTGGCCTGTTTGAGGAAGGAGAGGAGCATCCTTTTTCTTTCTTTCTTTCTTTGTGCACACTAATTTTCTCTTTCCATTTGAGCGCTTTTGTGATAGACTGGGTTTTGTTATACTGCTGGGTTTTCATCATATGAAATAACACCTGACTTCCAAATATTAACTGTGCTACACCTTAGCCTTGTTGCTAGGCAACCTCCAGCTCTTACCTCATCATCACAGCCTTATTATAGACTGGTATGGTAGGTGGTCGAGGAGTTTTTGCCTCTCTACGTGCGCGTGTCTGACTAAAAAAATGTGACTGTGAGATGAATCAGAAAGCGTCGAGCAGTAGACGGAGTTTAAGATGAAACGGAGGCATCCCACGAGGTCCAGGAGACGACACCAGCTCCGCTGCACACACTGTAGCAAAGCTCAGAGCTGTTTCTCTGTTTGTCTTTCTGGGACACTGATTTTAAATCTTTTGAGACTCATTATAAGTAAAAGGCAGATGCTTTCACCGTTCCATTAAATGCTTTTAAACTGAAGCAGAAGTACTCTCCAAAAGCCCCGCCTCCTTCCCCCTCTTTGCCGATGTCCTCTCCTGCACTGTGAAAGTGTTGCTGGCAGATTCGCATCACATACCCAAGTGCTGTTTGGCTTGGATAGAGAGGGGCACAAGGTGGCATTTCCAACACAAACACATGATCGTGTGTGCGTCCTGCCAGTTCTTTTCCTGTTAGCACAGCCTGTTAGTCAGGGCACAAGAACAGAGCTCTGGTGCCAGGCTGGCTTCAGCTGTGCTTCTCCACGGGGACATGACCCCCACAGCCAGATGCAGGCAGCGTTACACACACACACACATGCGCGCGCACACCCACGTTAATCACATAATGAGCCATTTTCTCTGAGCATACAAACAGACATCATTCATTTGTTCACTTTCTAATTTATCAGCCTGTTTTTTTTTGTTGTTGTTTTTTTTTCCCAGTCCTTCCTTTGCCAACTCTCTCTTTGTCTCTCCTGTCAGATGCAAGGGCCCAGCGAGAAGGGAAACTGACACCATGGACACATTTGTGGACTCGGCCTGGTATTATTTTAGATACACAGACCCTCACAATGCATACAGGTATAAACAGCCTCCTCTTGAAGCTTTAATATGTTCCTGTTCATCCATCTCTGGCTCAATGAGGCCAACAAATGTAGACTTATTTACTTTTCTTTCTTGCATCTTTTTTTCTTACCTTCTTTCTCACCTTTTATTACAATCGTATTTGTTTAAAAGAAAACGAGAAAAGAGGAAGTTGCAAAAGGTTCTCCAGCAGTAGGAGAAGAAGCATGTCTGTCTATTTAGATATGAAGAAAGGTCGCTGTGTAATCGCTGTGTAAATACAAACTCTATAAGTGCTATTGGTGAAAGTTATACTCAAACTATGATTATGCTCATTGTTAGATCACCCACTCTCTCTCCCACTTGCCTGCTTGAAACACTTGTATTGGGTTGTGTACACGCAGATATGCATACGCACTTCCCTGAAAGTTGCACTCTTTGCTGATAGAGATTATGGAGCAATGGCCGTCACCTGCTGGGGTGGCGGTGATACCCTGAGCTTAACAAAAGAGATTAATTTCCCAGTGCCCTGACCTAGCCGTAAAGCTGCTTTAAAAAGGGAGGGGGACTGCTCTCTCCATCACTTTTCTTTGCCGGACAGATTACGGCACAACAGAAAAAGCAATTACACCATTTGTGCATTTCAGTTGGATTGCTGAGCCGTATACACGCGGGGTGGGGGGTTGGGAGCGAAAATGGGAAGCAAGTGATGTTTTAAAGTAGCAAGTGCGATGAAGGAAATGGGAACAGGGTGTTATGTATTAGACTTCCTTGGCCTCTTGCCAGAAGTGAGTCCGAATTATTTTCAGCTTTGTGAGTTTATAACTCCCCTCCACCCCGGTTCAATTATCTGGAGGTGCTATCAGGCACAGAGGGAGGGTTGGAGGCAGAGACGTGTGAAGGAGAGTAATGATGTAAGTCTTCCCTAAAAAGCGTCATTACTGATACTCCATCATGACAGCCAGGCTGACTACACGTGGCTGTCCTGCCAAGATCTGAAAGCAATAGTCATAGTTTCACTATTAACCAGTGATGGCAGCCAAAATGTAAGCAGGCATTACTTTGGTACTTTTTTCTGAGTCTGAAGAAACTGAAGAGGCTTCACGATGCTTCTTTTCCTCTCTGGATTCTCGTGTGTCAGATTAAGCCTGCCCCCTGGAGGAAGACGGCGTGCATGTCTACCAAAGCACGTAACTACAAACTAGTCTCATCTGAAAAAATGCTTACTGGGATTATAATTGGGCATTTTGCAGCTTTGAGTTGCTAATTCATTCATTTTTGGCATTGATTTTAAACATCAAAGTGCTTCAAGTGCAGATAACAAAATGACAAAGACATGAACGAGAAAACATAAACTGAATCAATTAAAATTAAAAAAAGGTAAAATAAATGATTACCGTGCAGTATTATGGCGTTAAGTGAGCAAAAGATAAAAGTTACATCGTGATAGAGCAAACCAGCAGCCTCTGGGTTTACTGAAAAGACTTCTTCCACAACATTGGTTTGTGTGGACAGATGATGATGTTTGCACAATCATTTATAGCTTCTGTGAGAGCCCAAAAAAGCTCCTATATGAAACTCAACAGACCTCATTTTAGGAAGGAAGAGATCATTCAAGGTCTTCAGAAATCCTGTCCCCTTCCTCACTGGCACTTCTTCACCCTTCTTATTGTTCCTTTTCAGTTTAGCATTGCTCTTGATACTACTTTAGGCTAATAAATGAAGTGAGCACCTCTTTAAATGTCCTCTCCGTCTTCAGGCCTTTTGAGCGCCACTTGGCAGACCACTGGCTTCCTGTGGACGTGTACATCGGAGGGAAGGAACACGCTGTTATGCACTTGTACTATGCTCGCTTCCTCTGTCATTTCTGCAAGGATCAGGGTCTTGTGGCTCACAGGTGGGGTACACTGTAGTTTATGTGTATGTTTGTTTTTGTTTTTATTTAGTGTGCATTTGAATTTTGAGAGTGTTTGTAAGTGAAACACTCTTTATGTGTTACAGGGAACCTTTTCGGAAGCTCCTGGTCCAGGGTCTGATCAAGGGCCAGACGTTTAAGCTTGCAGGCAGTGGCCAGTACCTAAAGAGAGAAGAAATAAACTTCACAGGTACATGCTGCGTGCAGCTGGAGGGTGTTTGTTAATGTGACACATTTGTAACAAGTAGAAAGGACTCGGAGAAATGACTGATCTGTTTTCTCTGTAATGTGTGGTAACACTGCCTCCCCGCCTCCTTCTAGCGTTGTTAGCGAGAAGCCTTCTTCATTTAAGCGCTTCAGATCGCACTTTTCCAGTTGAATGACGGGTTAATCAGACCCTCTCAGGAAAAGCCAAATCACATAAAATCCTTTGAAGATGCCAAAACACTGTTATACTTAGCATTTAAGGATTTATTGATTGGTAACAGGATAAACAAGAGATACTGCTAGTTATCAAAGTAGGACGTCTATTGATCCCAGCTATCTCTGACCCCATCCTGTTTCTTCCAGATAAGGAGCCAGTGGCTCTGAGTGGCGGTCGCGTTGAGGTGACGTGGGAGAAGATGAGCAAGTCCAAACACAACGGGCTGGACCCCCAAGACGTGGTGCAGCAGTACGGCGTGGACACAGTACGACTATACATCCTCTATGCGGCACCGCCTGAACAGGACATCCTGTGGAATGCTAAGAGTGAGAAGAGTCTGCAAAATTACACAGACAAGTTACTCATGATGTGTGAACTTAAAGAAATCTTGTAAAAACATGCTCTTTCCTGTGTCCTGTGTGTGTTGACCCACTCCAGCCGATGCTCTTGCTGGCGTTCTGCGATGGCAGTCTCGACTGTGGCAGCTGGTGACCAAGCTGAGAGCAGCACGGCAGCTCGGAGATGTCCCCAACCCCAGGCTGCTGAAAAAGAAAGAGCTCGCGGAGGCCAAAAAGATCTGGGAGAACAAGAACTACGCAATTCAAGAGGTAACTGCTCTGCAGCCTAAAGGCCTTTACACACCGAGCGCGTCGTGATGATGAGTTGGTCCTGATGTTTCTAAACAAGAAAGGGAAGAAACTGAGATTCTGGGTTCATCCGATTCTCACTAGAAGGCAGCAGAAGGCAGACTTTTAATGGTTTGATCCAGGAGTTGAAGCTGTATAATGGCTGCTTTTGTCCATATTTCATGATGTCAGTTGGGCACTTTAAGCTCTTTTTGACAGAGCTAGGATCACATCTGTGTGTTTAGCTGTGTATCTGAAGTAAAACAGTATTCTTTTACTATTTCCGTATCATCATTTTGAGCTACGAGCACATTTATTCCCAAATGCAGTCTAACATATCAAGTGTGTTTATTCGGATCCGAAAAATTGAGCTTGTTTCGAAAAAAGTCAGTGCTGCAAATTTGTCTGTGTGAGCAGCTCCAGTGAGAACGAGTGAATCCAACTCCAGGCCTCGAGGGCCGGTGTCCTGAAGGTTTTAGATGTGTGCTTGATCCAACACAGTTGATTTAAATGTCTAAATAACCTCCTCAACGTGTCTTGAAGTTCTGCAGAGGCCTGGGAATGAACTATTCATTTGAATCAGATGTGTTGACCCAGAGTGATGTCTATAACCTGCAGGACACCGGCCCTTGAGGCCTGGAGTTGGACACCCCTGGCTTAAGCGTCTCATTGTGACATTAAACTGTGACATATTGCAGCACTTCTCACCAGCAGGGGTCAGATATGTGCCCGTTGTCAAATCTCGGGCTGTCAGTGAGATTTAACATTCACTGTCCTTCGGCAACATATTGCATCTGTCATTTTGCTCCGTTTTGAATTTCGCTCTCAGCTTGTTCCTCTTATCTGTGCTAAAGTTGTTGATGCCTGGTATTACGTAATTAATATCCTTCAGCCTTTTGCCACTTTGTTAAATGTTACAGTTGGAAGGCACGTTAAGAAGTCTTTTCTCATTTATAAGGCACCAAATGACAGCAAGTAATATATCACTCGTTACACAGTCTCGCAGTACAAAGTCCTGAGTTGTGGCATTTCAGTGCTAAACATCCGTCGCAACCTGAAACCCCTGGAATAAAGGGTAGCAGCAGAAGGCGCTGGAAATTGATTTTAAACTGTCTCCTTTCACACTTTATAAATAGCCTTCTCTGGCTGCCAGGTTTGATAGTCGCTCTCTACCCCCCCGCCTCCCACCTCAAGGCCATTGCTTTCAAAGGACCTCAGGCTGTTTGCCCTAAGCCCTCAAAGCCGAGGCTGTCCTTTGATCTGTCCCTCAAAAGCCTCGTTGATAAACCTGCTCCCTGTGGACCCTCCCAAATGGCTCCCTTTTCCATGAAAGCTGAGCAGGGGAATGTTGACTCGCTTTGTGGCTTCAGCTGGTCCACATGACGATAACAGACTGGAGGCCCGTCTTCTGAACCTGTCATTGTTTTCCAGTGATTCATCAGAGGCACACTCTGTAATAATAAGTGACAACACCAACCCATCTGGAAGCAGCCATATGTCTAGGATCCAGAAACGCATCATAAAGCCTCAGACTGTCGTTTTTACTCACCGACTGTGCCGTGTTTCTCTGTTGGTGTTTTCAGGTGACGACTCACTTCACAGAGGACTTCCTGTTCAACGCAGCCATATCTCGCCTAATGGGACTCACTAACACACTGAGCGTGAGCGCACTCTCTTATATCTTGAAGGACAGTAATGTGCAAAAAAGTCTTCAGCCACCAGCTATTTCATTATATTTTATTTCCAAGGAGCCAGACTTCCTCTTGTAATTTTTTAATGTGGTCACAGGCGATGGTTCTCCAGGGTTTCTGAAGGTCTTTCAAGGTTTTTCTGTGGACATTGGCTGCTTTTTCACTCATTTTTAGTCCAGTCTCAGGTTCTTTTGTTGAATCTATGAAAAATGCCTAAGATAACATAGTTTGACAGGCATAAAATTGTATTTTTGCACCAAGTGCTAAAGTGCTATTAGCCTAAAACTTAGCTAAAAATAAATAAACACATAAATACATCAGATGAGCAACATCTAAAGTCATGTCCTTAAGAAATCCAGAAAAGAGCTGACAAAGGACCTGATAGGTCTTAGAGTAGCTGTCAAGAAGCTATTCTTAAGGCAGGGACAGATAGCTGAGGTGTGACATCAGAATCAGTGGTAGCATGTTTGATGGAGTGATGAATCCAACTGTGAAATTTTTGTTGTTAATATGTACAGAGGAGCCAGGAGAGAGATACAACAGCAAGTGTGTACAGTCATCTTTAACACAGTTGAAGCTCTGTCGTGGTTTGAGAGCCAATGGTCATGGAGATCTTGTCCAAACAAAGTAGAATCAGATTTTGATCCATCATCAAGAAAGTGCTTGATTGGCAGCAGTTTCATTTTTCAGCATGACAATGATCTCAAACACACTGCCAGTGCAGTAAAAGCATACCTGCATAGAAAAACATCAATCAGTTGTAGATTGGCCTCTTCAAAGCCTGGACCTCAACATTGTTGAAGCAGTGTGGGATCATCCTGACACTGAATAGAACAAAAGACAGTGAATATCCAAACAGCATTAATGTTTGTCCTTCAAGATGCCTGGAAAACTGTTCCTAAAACTACTTAAAGAAATGACAAGAAAGCTGCCTAAGAGAGTTCAGGCTGTTGAAGAATAAAAGTGATCACACCAAATATTGACTTTAAAGCTCATTGTACAAACTCTGTTTTTGCCTTTTATACTGTACTTTCGTCAATGTTCTCACGTTTCAGTAAATCATTGCACCTATTTTCCATTTTCCTTGCAAAATATGAATAAATGAGGCGTGACTCAACTGAGGCGAACTAACTGCAAATATGGTACAAGTATTGTTTGAACTGAACACACTGGAAATCACATTTTCTCCACTGCTTCTGTGTGTCTAGAGTGCAACAGTCAGGCTGTTGCAACACAGCGTGGAGTTTGAGGAAGCTCTGGCTGCCCTGGTTATGATGACAGCACCCATGGCCCCTCACTTAGCTTCTGAGCTTTGGGCAGGTTGGTGAAGTTCATGTGCATATTTAATGTAAAGAAGAAATGTGTCACATGATGACACACACAGCTTCTTACACTTAACCGCTTGTCGGATGATATTTAAATAGTTGTAAATGAGGATAATCTTGGTGTGTAAAAGAGGAAGCGGCCTCTGCTAAACTTCTAATTTACACTAGTGAACACCCAACAATGAGTGGTGATGATCAGTACACTCCGCCTGAAATAAACAGTGCTGAGAAGCTAAACAACAGAAAGGAAGCTCTAGCGTCACTTTCTGTGTCTCGTGTGGAAGCGTGCCCTTGTGCTGCCCTGGAGGACATCCTTTTCTTTTCATGGATGCACGGACGTGAGCTTTCTGCACACAGCCGAGAGAGGAGAGAACCAGAAAACAGAGTCCAGCTGAAAGGAAAGCGTATAGCGTGTGTGCTGGTTTTAATGAGTGACAATGAGCACATTTTGTGTTTGTGTGTGCTCATGTACATCATGTACGTATTGCAGAAGAAGCTATAGAAGCTTAAGTTGTTTTTTAGTGAAACGAAGTTCAGCACGATAGCATCAGCAAACTTCGTTTTGTTTATTGTCCTACCCCCACCCCATTTATAAAATAAAATAAAAAAATCCTCAGTTATTCAGCTTACTCGAGTTTCACTGCATAGTTTCCCCGGTACGTGTTCATCATGTTTTCCCCCACAGTCTGAGAATCACCGATGCAGAGCGTTATAAACAGGACATACAAGATGTGTGACCTCTGCCGCACTGTACTTTACTCTCTGAGCCCTTCTTCGTAATTTTACACACACAGTGCAGGATAGAGGAAGTTCACATCCTTCCCTTGGGCCTCCAGAGGACAGGAGCTCGCTGTAAGAATAGCTGCGTCGTTGTTGTATGACCCATTACCGAGATCTTGTCTCAGCATAAAGATTAACAAATACAAGCAACATCAAAGTCATCCGCAGAACTAAAAATTAAATGTATATATAACTTTTCTTTCTTTAAAAAAAAAAAAAAAAATTTCTGGCTGACTCTTTTGTACCTCCGCATATGTTTCCTGAGAGTCGGCAAATATTGTCCATGTTGGGTCTTTCCCAGGTCTTTGCCAGGTGAAACACCCCCTCAGCCCCATCCTCCAGCATGAAGGGGATGTCCTGCAGCAGTCCTGGCCGACTGTGGACCCAGAGTATCTGGAGGTCCCTGACTTTGTGGAATTGTCTGTACTGGTAAGTTCAGATAAACGTGAACTCACTCAATATGCATCACTGCTGAAGGTTCTGACTCTGTGACCGAACAATAAATACAGAAATAAATGGTTGTCAAGGTTAAATGAAACGCTTACATTTCCTAATTCCTTTTCTTTTGTTGGTCATTGCACTTGTACATGTAAACATTGTGAAGACAACCTGCTGAAGTTCAAACTGAGCATCAGAATGGGGAAGAAAGGTCGTGTAAGTGAACATGGAATGATTGTTGGTGTCAGATGGGCTGTTCTGAGTATTTCAGAAACTACTGGGATTTTCCCACCCAACTATCTCTGGAGTTTATACAGAATGGTCTGACAAAGCGAAACTATCCACTGAGCAAACGTTCTGTGGGTGAAAATACCTTGTTGATGCCAGAGGTCAGGGGGCAATGGCCAGACTGCTTTGAGCTGATAGCAACAGGAATTCAAATAACCACCAGTAACAATCAGGGAACACTCCATATTATGGTGGTTAACACATTTACCTAACATGCAGAATAATCCTCAGTTTGACACTGGGAGGAGACACAAACTGGACAACAGAAGATTAGAGAAATGTCTTGATTTCTGCTGTGATATTTGGATGTTAGGTTCAGAATTTGGTGTTTAAAAAAAGACAAAACACATATATCCATAAATAATGCTGGTGATGGTGTTCTAATGGCACACATTAGTCCCTTAGTACCAATGTTTTAACACCTACCTGAGTATTGCTGATGCTCATGTCTGTCCCTTTAAATGTGCACTCAAATGCCACCAGTCACCAGATCTCATCCAGTCCAGCACCCTTGGTGGTCCAATCCAGTACTACCAAGGTGTACCTAACAAAGTGGCCAGTGAGTGTATATACAGAACTTTATTAAGACTGTTTTTCTCATACATCCTCTAGCATTTCCTGAAACTCTCCACTTTTACTTCCATGATTACTTCCATAGTCTGTAATTTTCATGAGAGCCTATGATTAGCCTCTGTGTGCATGTGCACGCGCAGATAGATGTCTTTACAAGTTCGTGCGTACCTGTGTGTTTATGCGTCAGCATGTCGGACACTGTGCTTAAAGTTAAAAAGACAAGTTGGTCAGTAATTAGAAGTTAAGAACAGAGTTCCTGCCTTGCTGTCACTCACTCACTTGTGTACTTTCTTTACAAAAAAACCAACAAAAAAAACGCCTGTTAGCCAAAATGAAGCCTGTGACTGGGTACATCATCATCGGGAATTCAAGTATCAGTGTTTTTCAACATGCAAAGACAATCAGAGGATGTATCCAGCTGTGATAGTTTTGTTTTTTTAAAGAAAATCCATTTGTATCAGAGTGCTATTCTTCGTTCTGCCCTGGATATCCACTAGGCTAATAGATAAAAGCTCCAACTGCTGTAATGTGACTATTTTCTCTTTTAGGAGGTAGTATCCCCCTGAGAAAACCTGCTAATCCCTTCTCACACGCACACACACCTGTGATTTCAACAAACACTACGCTGAATAACAGCGCTGCTCTTTCACTTGAGTTTTACGTGGAAAAAGAGACGAGAAACACGAGACAGAAATGGGTGTGTCTACTTATTCTATTCCCACTACAGAGATCTAAATCTCATTGCAGTGACATTTTGGGAAATCAGCACATTTCTGTGTAAATACTCAGTTAGGTAAGGGTTACCTTAGCAAGAAGAAGTAGTGTTTATGGTTAGGACGGGGCTCCAGGAAACCCACCAGCACACGTCTGAGTGCGGGTGGGTGTGCCCAGTTCTGTTCTCACAATACTCCGTATGTATTTTCCGTGTCTTAGTGAAAATAATACTCTTTTACACATCTCTGAGTCACACGCACTGTATATATATTTGAGCTTCCATTGCTCAGTGATGATGATTATGGTGGTGGTTTTCCCTTAGACTGAGCGCTCTGTTGTGGCTTTCCTCACTCTCGGTCCTCTAATCACGTACTCGGGTTTGTCCCAGAATGGAGGCCAATCCCGAGCACACGCACACACAAGCGTGCACACCCTTAATTTACAACCACCTCTAAAAGCAGCATCATGTTCAGCGTGTGCACACATACATTTGCTTCCAAACATACAAGACCGAGTGTCCTTACCATGCGTACCACTAACTATGTGTTTTAAAGGATGCACTGTATATGGGAAAAGGTGGAGTCTGCTATTTTAGGAGTTTTGTGCCAGTTTATAATACAACTTTCAATGGCAAAACTTTTGTTTTTCAAAATAACCGAATGGAAAAAACCTTTCAGTAACTTCTCTCATCTGTCGCCTTCTGTTTCTTACTCTTAGATAAACAACAAGTCCTGTGGCATGGTGACCGTCCCTGTGCAGGTGTCCAAAGATACCAGTCGGGTACAGCAGCTGGTTCTGGAGAGCCCCGTCGGACAGAAGTTTCTGAGCGAACGCAGCATAAAGAGAGCCATCTTGTCTCCCAGGACTGCTCTCATCAACTTCCTGGTTGATGAGTGACACTGGATTGTTCACCACTGCTTTTGAGACAGACAAAAGAGGTGGACTTTTTAAAAATCTATTTAAGAAAACCTGAAAGGCTGAACGTCAGTTCAGATAAAAATTGAATGATATCAATGTGAATATCTATATAGGCATTTTATTTATGTTTTCTATTTTAATAAAAGAGCAACTGCAGGTTTCCAGTCTCTTTAATGCAGCACCTATCTTTTCTAAATCAGACTCCCAATTATTCAGGACCTCAGCTCCACCCAAAGACCACTTTAGATTCCAGTCATTGTTCACATTCTCTACCTTAAGCATCGCACTCACAGCTTCACACCTCTCAATCTACCAATGCACGTCTCAGCCAAGTCATGCAGCTGTGCCTTATCAGCACTTGTGTGCACCTCCGAGCCTGTTTTTGGGCTGCACAGACATAGACTGCTATTTGGCTACTGGATGCGGTGCTGCGTGAACCCTGGCCAGCTGGAGTTAACTGAAGGGCCTCACGCGGTCAGGGGATTTTTAACCTTGCCACCGCATCATTTGTTCTGTCCCTCATGGCCAACTATGCCTATTCATGGGCTCTGTGTCTTGACGTTAGACCAACATGACTCAGCCCTTAGCGCTGTCCTGGCAGAGCGCACACACCAGAGGCACTGAAATGTATCTGTGAACACGCCTACTGGCCTATCTGGAATGAGTATGAGTAAGCAGTCACTTGATATGTAAAACAATTTCCCCCTCGTCAAGTTATTGTGCCCACACCTCCGATTAGTTGAGTTTTTTAAAGCTATATGGGTAATAGTTAAGGACATGCTTTTAATTTGATAGGAATCATATTGGCCAGCTTGCAGCTGATAAAATCATGGCTTGCTGTATATATTGTTTTTAGTTACTCATGCTGAATTTTTAAAATGTGCAGACGCACAAAAAAAAATGTTTCTTACTGACCCCCTCAATCCCTTTCCCATATTTTGGTGCTATCTCTCAGCATTAGGTGACAGGAAGAGGCTCACAAGAGAGACAGAATAACAGGAAGTGAAACCAGGAATTAGAGGAGGGGAGTAAAGAACTTTAACTCTGTTCGTTGTTTTTCTCATTGTCTTAGATTTACACAATGGCTTGATGCCGTCGCAACCGAAAACAAAGCGAGACAAAGAAACGGAGGAATTTACCTTCTCTGTGCTCATCTCTGTGTCACACATTCAAACTGTCTGTTTTAAAATAGGCATTACAACCAGAAGGAGTTTGTTTTTAAACCCCTGATCTCTTCCTTTTTTGCAGCTCTTTTCACACCTTCATTTACTTTTCTCACTGGTAACAGCAACTAATAAGCATGGCTGAACTTCAGGTGGCCTCAAAAATGGGCCCTGAGTTGCTGTTTCATTAAAGAGAGCAACAGTGTAACTGTTGTTTAGAGCAGTCTAAGTGACATGATAGAAAATCCTTCCTGGACTAAAGTTAGCCCCTTTGAATAAATTTGATCTGAACTGCAGTGATGCATTCAGTTTGTCACTTTCAGCTCATGGCATCATTTAACACTTTTTATCATCTCTGCAGTTTCCATGACGACGAGGATCATTGAAAAGGCAACAATAATCCACTGTGACTCACTTTCTCTTCAGATCGCAGTCATACCCTTTCTTACACAAGACATGTACAGCATGGATTGTCTTTGATGAGATGAACTAAATCACTCCTCTGCCTCTTGAGAAATTCTGCTGTTGAGGCGGATGAGGGTGGAGCACACAGCGGCGCAGTCCCGATCACCCTCCATTGCAGCAGTCGAGTCCCTGGACTGGGGCTGTGTGTTCCCACAGGGGGATGTTGTAATGCCACAGCTCATTATCTTGCAGGATGACCTCAAGGCTGGAAAAGTAGTCATCTGTGGGTACTCTTTGCTTACACAATGAGCTCACACAGAGTTTCATTAGTTCCTTAATTGTATTTGAAACGAAACTCTTGGGTAGTGTGTGATTATACACTTAACTGCCACACCTTAATTTATTAATTTGCAATACTGTGCAAAAGTTTTAAGTCACCCTTCATTTACTTATATTTTAAATCTGAAATAGGTGCAGTGATTTACTGAAAGATGTTAGAAAATAGATCGAAATGGAGTATGAAGGGCAAAAACTGAGTTGGTACTATTCTGATGAGTCTGAAAGACAATACTTAGTATGGTCGTCTTTATTCTTCAACACAACCTAAACTCTCTTGCCGTTTCTTTAAGTAGTCTTCAGGAATAGTTCTACAGGCTTCTTGGAGGACATTCAAAGTTCTTTGGATGTTTGCTGCTTTTTTTCTGTTCTCTATCAGGATGATCTCACACTGCTTCAATAATGTTGCGATCTGGGTTCTGGGGTGGCCAGTCCATGGCTGATGGGGTTCCATTGTGTGTATCTAGATACGCTTTTACTGCACTGGAAGTGTTTGGGATTATTATCAAGCTAAAAAATGAAACCATGGCCAATCAGTTGCTTTCCATATGGTATTCCATGGTGGATCAGAATCACAATTCCATTTTGACAAGATTCCCAACACAGCTGGCTGAAATCCAGCCCCAAAACCAGGACACTTTGACGAGACCACTGTGTTTTACAGACGTTTGTAGACACTCTGTTGCACATCTTCCCTGAGCTCCTCGCTACATACTGATGACAATTTGAACCACAATTTTCAAATTTGGATTCATCACTCCATCAGACCTGTTGTCACTGATTTTTCAGTCCAGTTCTTGAGTAATTTGGGATACCTCAGCCTTTTCATCTTGTTCACCTTCCTTAAGAATTGCTTCCTGACAGCCACCCTTCCACTGAGACCATTTCTCATGAAATTTCAGTGAACAGTCGAATCAACTGAAGGGTCAGTTGCTGTAGATAGTTTGCTTGAATGATTTCACAGGTCAGTATTGAGTGGCTTAAACAAACAAAACAAAAAGAAAACATTCATCTGAAAAAGGTCAGGTACAAGGACTGGACTAAAAATGAAAAGACTTTTAGAAAGCCTGGAGAAATACTGCTCAAGACCACTTAAAAAATGACACAGTCTGGCTGCTTGGAAGCAAAATGTAAAGAAATAAGGAGTGGTTTAAGACGATCCACTCTAGATTATGTTTGTCTTTTATGAATTTAATATATTTACTGTGCCGGCTATATCCCTCTCTGTGCAGAGGAACACTTTCTAAGGTGTTTTGTTTTGTATTGAAAGGATCCATGTATAATCTTAGTACAAACACCGATGTCCTCACTGTAAAGCCATCCAAGGCTGTATCATAAAGCATTGGCCAGTGTTCATTCTTCCTTTGCTGTTCTTTCATCCATCTTTACATGCAGGTTTTTCAAACATATCTATTTATTCCACCTATTTCCATCTAACCAGTCAAACTGTTGTGTCTTGTCACGTAGAGTTGTTACTGCTAATGCTTCAAAGTAAAAGCCAACAATTTCACAAACTGCATCTGCTTTTATGGAAGTGTTAATGCCTTACAACAACAAAAAAGACTTCTGAGCATTAGTTTAAGAATATATGGCATTATCTGCTGTGCAGATTTCATTAACTGCTACAATTTCATTGCTTGTTTACAAAATGCCTTGGCACATATCCTTATAAAAGAGTAACAACAGAGCTTTGGATTCCTGGAAATAATAGTGCTATTTAAAAAAAAAAGAAAAAAAAAAAGGTTAACTGTTGACACTGTCCCGTCTAAGATCTTATGTAACCATGAACATGTAGGAAGTCTGAAACCTGGCTTTTTTTGTTTGTTTGTTTGTTTATATCCTATTTTTCTCTTTTAATGAGGCTCTAATGACACAATTACCATAACGGGTGAAATAAAATGAGCTCATGTTTTCCAGAGTTATTGTCACCACATGCTTGGATTTTCCCCATAGATATTTAGCAAAGTAAATGCAGAACACAGCAACACTACACACAATATTCAAAATATATAGTTTTTAATTTACGTCAGTCTGGAGATATAATTTTGTCACTTTTATGATGCTTTCTCAAATGTTTAGTTTATTACGTTTTGTACAAGACATCCAGGGTTCAAATCCAGGACACTCACTGCAATTTCATGTCAGAGTGCCATGCTAACAACATTTTGGATATAAAAATTTGGACATATTCATTAATGTCCCATGCTGCAACTGCATCTTTATTTGAAATAAATAATATTTTATAACTTTGTGGATCCTGCTCAATTTATTTAAGCAATAACACATTTGAGCAGCTGCTCTGGTTTGTCCTTTTTCCCCTTCTTTACAGTAATAGTGCTCCCAGCTGTTCTGATGAATGTGTTTAAGGGGTAAGTAAAGCAAGTTAGGCCTCCTGCTTAAGGGGGGGATTGCATTACAGTGACTGTTTCTTCAGGCTAAACCTTTTACTTTTATTATGCCACCAGGCTTCTCATATATATATATATATATATTTTTTTTTCTTCACAATAACTGTGGCTGTCAGACAATATAAGCACACTCAGGCTTTATGTAGGACATATAAAATATTTTCTGTATACACATGAGTTTGTCCTGCTGTACCCCACCTCTGCCTCAAATATTCCAGACGGGTCAGGACACAATGCAAAGGGGTTACAGTGTGTGTGTGTGTGTGTGTGTGTGTGTGTGTGTGTGTGTGTGTGTGTGTGTGTGTGTGTGTGTGAACAGGAATGTGTGATGTCATTCAGCAATAAACAGACGGGCCTGTTAATACCCAAACCACAGAAAAACACACCCATGCAGTAGTTACTGTACAGCTTTATGAATATTAAATTACACAGATTGTTATGAGAAGTGGGACTAGTTTAAGCAGTTGTGTCAGGGGCTATACTTTATTTACTTTTTAAATCTTATTTTACCAATGCTGTTTAATAACAAGTAACACGTTACTTTAAGTAATTTCAAGTTCCAGCTTCTGCCTTCCTTTATTTCCATATAAAATTGTCTTCATTTTTTCTACCCTCAACAGTGAACCCGTTATTGTCAGGATTGTGATTGCACCCTGTTGCCTGTTTAAATAAAGGCAACAATAACACACGTCCTTCCATGGGAATGTGAAGTTATTAATAACGGTATAAAATGTAAAAATAAATTTTTAAAAATGTCCAGTTTAAGAACAATAAAACAATGAAAATAAAAGTTAGTAGAGGTTAGGGAAGTGGAATGGGGTTTTTTTCTTCTTTTTCCTCGAAGAAGAACGGGAATTGAGTCAACTCGGTGATATTTTTGAAGATGACACATGATGTATGGAACAGTTAACAGAATGGATGCCTACGAGCTGAGCTATTTTAAAACCAGATATATGCTATCTGGTTACATAAATAACGCTGATTAATGGCTGGTGTGTGGGAAAGCTCTTATCTTACTTGTCCTACTTGATTTGAGCGCTGTGCCTTTAAAGGAACAAACTGCTCCGTCATTAAGTTCCAACTGTCGACCCGGCGGCCACGTACGGCTCGGTGCCCCAGCGGTTCTCCGGCGGTTTGGGTTAACTTCTCTGTTTTTGACTGCTTTTTAGTAGTTTTTCTTTCAGAGGTGCGAAAGACAAAGTTTTTGAATGAAGCTGTAAAGCAGCAACAGCAAGAGGAGGAGGAGGAGAGGGCGGTTTGTGGGGTCGTCCGGGGGTATCGGATCTGGGATCGGCTCACATTTATAACCAGACGGACGGCGGCTTCTTTGGGGCAGAGCTGAGCTTCACGGACGGACAGTTTCACCGAGGAGGACGTGGAGCTCGAACTGTTTAAAGGACGGGGGAAAGGTCGGAAATATCAGGCGGGAGGGGGAAAGTTTATTTTCTTCTCTCAAGACTGCGAGCTGTTGGACTACTGACTGTAAAGTTTGCGGATATTTGTGTTTAAGCTAGGCTAGATACAACTACTTGCAACTTTATTGAAGCAGAGCCGATACGCCTTTTTAAAAATGGATAAATACGAGGATTTAGGGCTCGAGGCGAGCAAGTTTATCGAGGACCTAAACATGTATGAAGCATCCAGAGATGGCTTGTTTCGAATGAGGAGGGATGCGGGAAATAACCCCGACTTTGAAGAGACGAGGAAAGTTTTTGCCTCTAAAATGACTAAAATACACATGCAGAAACACCAGGAGGAGATGGCCAGAAACAACGAGGCCATTAAAATGAACGGAGGTCACAGCAGCATACATTACACCAAAGACAGACCGCCCATCAACAGTTACAGACAGCTGAGTGAAGCTGCTGCGAAGCCCCCACTACTATCTGGCCCTGTGCCGAGCACCGCTGCTGGGAGTCAGTACGCACAGTTTGACGGCCAGAGACACCACACGGGTATCCAGTCTGAACTTCCTACCGGCAGGGCTTACGAGTACGGAAACAATTACGACAGTAAGGAGCGCTTGGAGCCCCATTCATACCAGCATACCACCCCTTCCCCGCCTAGCTCTGGAAACCCTTCTCATGCGCGTCACCCAGTGAGCCAGCCGCCTGCTTGGGCCCCATCCAGAGACAGCCAGCCTGCCCCATCTTTGTCTGAGTCTGGGAGCAGCAGTGCATCCCAGCACCTATCCCAGGCACCTTCTACCTTCAACAGTCTTCTATCCCAGCAGAATCAGGCCATTTCTTCACCTGTCAATAGAAGTCCACCATCTCCTGCTGGGCCAGTTAAAGGGTGGGTCGGAGAGCCCTCTGGCTCAGCAAAACCAGACCTGGCGCCTATCCTGCCTCTGAGTGCCTTCACAGGAGGAGCTGAATTGCATGTGCAGCAGCCCTCCACCAAGCCTGCGTCCCATTACACGCCACCGCCAATTTCTAAACCATCTGCCAGCCATAATGGTCCCGTGGCAGCCTCCTCTGTCCTTTCTACAACTTCTGAAACGCTTCAGCCCAAAGCCCAGGTGACATCTTCTGCTGTAAACCCCAGCAGTGTCTCCAAAAGCATCATCCAGGGTCAAGGTCAGAGCCAAATGCCTGCCTGTGGACAGACCAACAGTGCTGAAGCTGAAGTCCCGGGCTCTTCTAAGCCTGTCCAGCTACCCTGTCAGTCCGTCCTGACACATCCACCTGAACAAAGTCCTTCAGCAGCTGAAATAAAATTAGAAGCCCTCACTAAGCGACTGGAAAAAGAGATGGATGCCCAGCCAAAGGCTGACTACTTTGGTAAGAATTCAGATTGCAAGTATTAACAAGGGGGTTTCTGCCAGTTGGGCAACTGAACCACCAAACCACAGTCCAAAACATAAACCACCATGAGACATGTGAAACCCAGAGCAGAAGAACAACAAAGGGTACATATGCCAGTGAATGAGGCAAGTTGGTCACTTGCTTCATTCATTGACATGTGTACCCTTTGTCAACTTTTGTAATCCTTCTGTTGTGGGTTTCTGTTGCAGACGCGGGTCTTGTGTGTTTCTTTTTTGGTGACATGAATACATGCCAACACTTTTTTTTTAATTTATTTATTTTTTGTGTCTGTGAAACTGCACGTCGACCGATGCCGTGGTGGTCCTTTCCCCCTTTTCCGCTCTGGAATCCAGACGGAATAATTTTCTAATTTGTCATGTCTCATGTAATTGCTTAATTGCCTACCCACAACAAACCCTTTGGCAGTAAAAGAATGTCAGAGGCCAGAAAGAAGACCGTTACCCTCTTATCTCATCTCAGGGAGGTAATTGATTACTATTGAGGCCCTTAACTCTGTACTTAGAGCTTTATCACTTTGGTTCTGTGGGGCATTAAGTTTGTAATTGTATTGATGCTCCTCCCTCATCCAGTTTGTTTGATTGACACTAGAATGATGTCACTGACAGAGACCTGTGCTTGCACCCTTTTTTTTTTTTTTTTTTTTTTTTTTTTTTTAAAGATTACGCTTTCTGTAAGCACGTTGTCAGGTTTGTGCATGCACCAAGCTCAAGCACATGGAAAACTACAATGTCTCCCATTCAGTTTGATATAAACTTGGGAATATTTGGCATAAAGTGTTTGACCTCGTTATATCGCAAGGAGCGCTTAAAAGAAATTCCCAGATTTCCAGCTCCATCTCTGGAGAATTTTTATATAAATCTGTCAACATTTGAGTAATTACTGCTAACAATTTAACAAACCAAGGAGTTTATGTGATTGCTTTGGTTTAAGTTGATCAATGTGACTGTAAATGTTAGAATTTGGGGTCATATGAAGAACAAACAAGCCGCTGCTCTCAACTTGTTGAGTTTGGGGGAAAAAAACCCTGCATATTCTGGTTTTCATTCCTCCTGTTGGTGCATGTAGCACTGAAGCTGCTCTCTCCAGACTGCAGGTGCTATCAGAAAATGAATATGCAACACATGCTGGGGAGAGAAACAAAATACAAAAACAGATGCTTGCCTTTGAGATCAGCTGATAGGCTGTAATCACAGATGCAGATCCTCAGGTGTTCAAAGCCAAAGTCATCTTTGAAAATAGGATTCGAGACAGAAACATGGTGGGAAGGAAGAGAGAGCAGGAGACCCCGACACACGCACATGTAGCCCACCCATGAATCCTCGCTGGAGGAATTTCCTGCTGGAATGTCACAGATGTAATTCGCCATCTTCTACCTCACCCCCGCCCTCACCCCCGCCCCCCTCCCAAACGTGCTTATATTGGTGTGTAAGGAAAGATCCTCTGGCATACGTCACAGTCACTGATGAGGTGCACAAATAGCCAACGCAATGTGGATGTGTGGGAGAGCACAGTGTGCAACAGGCCGGGGTTGAAGATTTCAAAATGATGCTATATATGCCTTTATTTTCTCACACGCTGTCCTACATAGCCCACACAGTTCCTATATGGAGTTTCCCACCAGACCATGGCTCATCCTCTGAGTCATCACTTTATACCAGAGGTGGGGGGGTAAAAACTAGTGTAGGCTATTTTTTACATGCTTAAGTTTCTCCTGAAAAATCCTACTTTTGAGCTCTTTTAATGTTTTAATTTGTAAATCGTTTGTAGTAGTGCTTGAATGTTAAGTTACTGATATATGCCTGCATGTATTGGGCTATGTTGTTTGCATACTGTGCTGATTGGTACGGAGCCCCTCTGATGACATGGTCCAATAAATAAATAAATTGAGGCCACAAAATACTACTTCGTGCCCACGAAATGGGTATAACGTGCGCACGAAATGCTAATTTGTAGCCACGAAACACTTGACCGGTAACCGTGATCCTTCCCAGGCCCTTGCAGTTGGTTGACAATAAAATCTATCCCGGCGTCCAGGTCACAACTGGGCTCTCAATATCCTGTTTAAATGTCTCTCCGTAATAATGGTTCCTTGCATTGCAGGCTTTTCAAAATGCATTTGTAGCTCATTCCCAGCCTAAAATAAAACTCATTCATACTGTTTATGTCCATGGTGTATAGGTTTAGCCTAATCTTATGCTACGCAGCTGTCCAGGAATTGTATCAATATGATGTGCGCACGCTATCTATTTCGTTGCCACAAATGCGTAATTCGTTGCTACGTTATACCCAATTCGTGCCCAGAAATTAGCATTTTGTGCGCACGTTATACCTATTTCGAGGGCACGAAGTAGTATTTTGTGGCTAAAATTTATTTATTTTTTGGACCATGTCATCAGAGGGGCTCCGTAGATTGGCATTAACTGCAGTTGGAGGTTCTGGGAAAACGAGTTCATTGCCAATGGCTGCACCAAGGGAACACTGAGGAATGTCTGAAGGAAGAGAGTGAGGAATTTAAGAAATGAAGTCTTGAGATACAAAGAGGAGGGGCGGGGGGTGTCCCAGACGAGTTTAGGGGTGCCTGTGGTGCAGCTTGAATGGATGAGCAGACAGTCTGAGAAATTTAGGGACAGGTTTGTGGATGCAGCTTTGTCCTTGGCTGCAAGAACTTGAGAGGAAGTTAGATTTATGGAGGAGTTCTTTCAAGAAAGAAGAAGCAACATCCCAGAGTTCTCCCTGGCCTCTTCCTCTAACTTTCACATACACATCCAGTGGAGAGTTTTTAGTGTTGCGTTAAGATGGAGGATTAATTTATCCCATCTGGCTGTTGAGTGGAAAGCTTCATCTCAACTCTTCCCAGGGATTCTTGGCTTCTGCTCTGGCAGGCCTTTTGGAGGCTAATTTATTTATTTTATTTTTGATCAAGTATGTGACTGGGATGTCCTCCCAAGCTCACATCTGCATGGTTTTGTCTGTGTGCGTGCACGTGTATGTATATGTGCTACAGTAACTGGCAGAAGTTGGTATGCTGTGTCACTTGTCACTTCTGGGTGTGATGTGTGTGTGTGTGAGCAGATTATTGTATTGCATTCATGCGTGTGTCTTTTATAGAGTTCATGTGGTGGATGTGTTCATCTAAGTTAATGTAGGTGACTCATGTTAAAGTGATTGAAGCACAAACTGCAACAGTGAGTAACAGTTTTTTTTTTTTTTTTTTTTTTTTT